TTATGGGCGCTGCTCGCCAAGAATCAGTCTGCCGCCTCCGATAGAAGTCGTACTTATCATATCACAACAGTCGATGATCAGCTCATTATCGGTCGCAAGCTGTTTGCAGAAATTTACAATATTAAAGAATGTTATGCAAATGCAATATGTCCAGTTAAATGACAACATTGATATTTTAATAGTAATCAAACTTTAATTTACAAGTAAAGTTTTTAGTGTTAAAAATTGAAGGTTTTAATTGGTGAGCAAAAACAATCGAAAAGTTCTCATTCTGTAAACTACAACCTAAATTTGAACTTAAATTACTATTATTTAATTACTAAAATTACCGAACTGACTTTATTTTATATATTTGAGAAAAATGTTATTGAGGAAGCTATAGAATTGGCACTTCAAGTATTAGAATTGTATAAAAAACTACAGCTTTTTAGAAGGTGACCCTAACAACCGATATGCTCATTATTTTGCTGTAAATTTACAGAATCAAGAAGTCGAGCTATGCGGCCAACATTAGAGTGCAACATTCTTGGTATGCGTCAGAGATTCCTAACGTTTTTTTGCCGATCCGATCTGCCGGCGGTGATGCCGCTGCAGCAGCCCTTTTGTGGAGTCGTGTACAGAGAATTATGGCCACTAGCCCGTGCCAGACGCAACGCCTGTGCCGCAGCCCATCTCCTGTACTTCAGCATCAGCTCCAGCTTCAGTTCCAGCTTCAGCTTCAGCTACAGCTACAGCTACAGCTACAGCTTCAGCTCCAGCCCCATTCTGCCCCGGGGCGATCATGTACGACCTGGAGAGACCAGAGACCAGAGACCAGAGACCGGAGTTTGCAGCCGCCTCAAATGGGCCAGGGTTGAGGAATGGGTAGTATGGGGGAACGGGGAACGGGGAACAGGGAACGAGCCTTTGAGCAGGTCCCTAGTGCGACATATTGGTGCTCCCAAGCGACCATAATTGCCCCAACGACTGGATGGACCAGGACAATCGGGACACAACACCCACAACAAGCCGTCATCGCTGGCCAAATCGTCGAGGTAATTTAGTAGCAGGACCCCGAGTATTCTAATATTCTTTCGATTACGACCAGGGGTAGGCGGTAAAAAAGGGGGCGGGTCTGCGGGCAGGGAAGGAAATTGATGGGCAGTTTTTACTATACTTCGAATACCTCAGACGTGACGTGAATAATGTGCACGATAAGGATCTCGAATACCTTCTTTCGTGGGGAGTGCATGCAAATTTTCGAAGATTATGCGCCGATTACCAGCAGTTAAAGTGATTTGGAATATTGTTTGGGCATTGAACATTTTACAGATTTATGTGCGCACATTTGAGGAATTTTCATATTTCGGCATTTTCATATACATATTTAAAGCACGCTAAAGTTGTGGCTGCTTGGTATTCATATTACAGCAGTTCAATGGATTGTGCCCACGAAGCTTGATAAACCCAGAAACATCTGCCAATTTAAGGCACTTTAAGTTAATTTATTTTAATCGCTTTCACTTAGGTAGCTTATAATCTGATGATGGACTTTATTTATTTTAAAGGCATTAAGAAAATAATCATAAATATAAACCTTACGTTTTTTCTTGCCCAAGGGAAATCCTTTGAACTTTTACTTTATTGTGAATTGAAACAGGATTTTCATTGCCTGTCCATCCATCTCATTTGAAATTCAATTCATTCCGGGAAATGTATTCCGCAATCTGAAAATCCAGAATATTTTTGATTTTAGAAATAAAAAAGTGATTTTCAGTGGAGGTTTTAAGGGATCGTCTAAGATTAAGATGTTCTGCAAAGCAAATTGATGATTTAACTGCGGCCATTCATTTATTGCCATAATTTCCCGGCCAAAAAATAGATTAGGATTATACACTTCAGTGAAATGCTGGCACAAATGTTAATCAAAAAGCGCCTGCATTATTATGCCAGGATATTTTGTCATGTGAAAACTACATATGTATTTATTAACCGTTCCCGAAGGATTCGCTTGAATATCAAACTAGCACTTGCCGCAACGTTTTCTAATGGGATTATCGCGATGATAATGAACCGCACACCCTACGGCCGGAATAAGTACGCAATTGGCTTTCCCATGACCAAAGCAAACCGGACCGTATTTACCCGACGCATAAGCCTCTTTCCCGCCTTTTGTGAGCTCTTGGATGTGTGGGCAGGAAAAGAGCAATTGTATTCGGGCATGAAATTCAAATACAAACAGCGCGAACAATGCCGTTTATGAACCTGTCAATCCGAAATTCAATTGGGATTGTGTGAATTGGAATCGGCATGGATGGACTGAGTATCAATGCGATTGTTTAATCACTCGACACGACGCTTGTGAATTGGCGCCAGCTGCTAACTTATTACAAATTTAATGCCCATGAGTGCATCTGCGTGGGTACATGTTTGCTCAAGTACTGTTTGTTCGCTGCCGTATTAGCATTTGTTTGTCTTACCCAAAACAAAATGCATTCTTTAGGTCCTTATTGGTATTTTATCTCACTCAAAGAAAGGAGTTTTTTCTCAGACCCGAATTGTCCTGGATTACAGGAAATATTGCCCATGTTCAGGTATTCTTATGTAAGATGCGTTTCCGATCTCATAGATATCCTATCTAAGGTCCTTTCAGACTGTGTTTACTTTATATTCCGCCTTTTTTGGGCTTTAAAACAGAAAGTATAACAATTGGAAAGCATCATGGTTTAATTTTAAATTTGGAAGTGTAACGGGTGCTATTAAATTCTCCAAACATTGAACACCTTTTTTTGTAATTTAATTTATTAATTTCGTTGCTCTGCAAATTAATTTTTATTTCAAAATATTAGGAGCTTGCCTACAATTTTCACTTAACATCAATGTAATCAAAACTAGTTAATTTTTAAATCTTATATGTGTTAGGAAAATTTAAAGGTAAACAATGAGCGAAATTTTCTAATCCGGATAAGGTTTAGTTCTTTTTATGTACTACCATGGTAGTGCACTAATACTTTAAGTAATATGGAAACAAAAAGATGCTTTAAATGGATATAAGCACCAGACAACATTTGAAACATTTCGAAGCTTCAAATCCTTTAAAAGCGTCAACACACCCCAAACTATCTGAATAATTCATACATAGTGTGCATAGTACGTATCTGTTCGAACTAATTGGGGGTGTAATAGAGCTATTAACCGCTCCGAGTGACAACACCCCTGTGTGGTGTGGTCGTTTTGCGTTTAAATGTGGGCCAAAGGTAACAACACATTAGCATGAACAATTTAAGTAATTGTAAGTGGCAGGCCAATCCGCAACCCTCTCTGCGCCGTGGGGGTGGCTAATTTAAACATCGAAAAACGTATATTTTAATGAACAACTTGGTCGAGTTGGTATGCCAACACTTGACAAGTGCACCGGGATATGCACATAGCACTTATTAGGACGTATATAATTATGTGTATCGCCCATGTGGACGATTTTTTATTTCAACATTGTTAATGTTACCCAACCAAGAGAAATGTGAATGTGAACGTGAACGTGAAGACTGACAGATTGCATGGCTTGATGACGAGAATTTTGACAGATGGCTCTTTCCCGATTCTGCTTTTTGATCTGACAATTTGTGGGCTCGAATTTAAAAGTGTTTTGTTATCCTTCAGTGCGCCTTGTTTGGCAAATAGGTAATTTAAATTTAAACGAAAAGGGGTGACGGATTAAGATGCACAAAAAAGAATACAATTTACAATTCAGTCGATGTCAATATTACTGTCACAATATTTGGGATTATCTTGATGACGACCTTTTAAGTGTGAGGAACCTTTTAACTTTTTGCTATCGGATTGAAATTTGCATTTATAGAAATATATTAACAAGATTGAATGTTTTCAAATGAGTAAAAAAAAGAAAGAAAACGGTCACATTACGTTGGAATTTTTTTTATATAAGTCATAAAAATAAAAATTATGTTTGTAAATGATAATTTATAATTTTATTGTTAAAATTCTAAATGACAACATAAAAATGTTTTCTCTCAAAATATTTTTTTATCTTGAAAAAGAACCATTCGTTTTTTAAGGCGAGAGTGGATGTGATCAACAATTCAATTACACCTGCTCTATATGGCGTATATAGGTGCTCTAATGGACGGAACTTAAAACCTCGAAAGAATTGGTGCTAGCTCTCTTAAAATGACCAATACCGGAACGTTTTGATTGCCGAGAGTGTGAACTTGTGTCTCATTATGGTAAATAACAATAAAACTATTCTTTAAGTCTTTGATATAATCAAAATCATAACATCCCTAGGCGTAAATTATGGGTTACCACATGTCGGCTCGCCTTGTGGGTAGAAAAAAGCAGGCCCGCGGGCGATTCGGTTTTTTACGCCAACGGAGGCGTTCCTGGCCGATGGAGAAATTTGGGTATCGGCAAATTGTCACGTAACCCTCACCGCACTGGATGGCCAACATCGTGAAAATTGTTTTTTAGCAAATGTTGGGGGGGTCCACTAGCAGCCCTTGCCTGCGAAGGCGCCAGGAATTGTAATTACAAATTTGTGTTGCAACCACTTGGCACGCATCGCACTCAAGTCAATTTCGGGGTGGTCCGTGGTTAAGCGACCGTGTAATTCACGATTCTCAACGGATGCCCCGTCACTTGCGGTATAAAAAGCATTTAATTGCGGTTTACACTTTCAGTTGGATTAATACGTCTAAATGGACTTCATTTGCTATTTTTAATTGCTGCTAAGTAAATATTATTTGCATATTTCATTTGAATAGATGATGGCCACTGCCCCAAAAACATATATATTTTGTCTTGAATAATTAAAACTAAATGGGATCGGAAATTCATTGTTTAAAACTTTGAACATTATTTTCTGAATATTCCATTCCGTTCTTTTTTTATCAAAGGAAAATACCAAGACCGATAAAAAGGTATTGTTAACTAATTTGATGAAGTTTTTTAAAATGGCAAAGCCCTGAAACATTTCTACCCGAAGTCATATTAATTTAAATTGGTTTTTTGTTTTAATATGTTTAATCAATTTATTTAATTTACATACATTTTTAATTGCTATGACTTGACTTAGTAAATCCAGAATTTCCTAGGAATTGTGATTAAGAAATGCTAACAAACAAAAGTGTGCACCAAATTAATACAGGAAAACTTATTTGGCACCGTCTTGGTTGGTGGCCCCCGAAATGAACACCAACAGGACCACCGGAACGATGTACATCCACTGAAAAATAAATTAATGAGAAGTTAATATATGCATTTTTTTGGGTTGGGGGTCCATTTGCACTTACGTATTTGGCAAAGAAACCACGGTTATCGCGAACTTCGCCACGCTCCCTGGCCTCCCGCTCGCGCTCCACCTTCTGAATGAAGCCAGCGGTATCCGGCACGGGAGCCAGTTCCGCGTGGCGGATCAGGACGTCGGTGCTGAATTGGGATTCAACCAGCTTATCAACATCCTCCTGGGTGCACTCAACGGCGGCGGGAACCGTGTCCTGAGCGACGGTAATGCCGGTAACGAATCCGGAGGGATCGAGCGACACCCACAGCACGTCATTTAGTTGCGCTTGCAGCAGACGACAGGCTTTGTTGGAGGTAATGAACTGCGACTTGGCGCCGTTTGAGTAGACCACCGTAGCCCTTAAGCGGTAAAACTCATTGTTTAGGGCCAGTTTCTTCAAAAAAACAAGTATTTCAAAAAGGGATTAAGGTTTGATAGGTAGGTATAGCAAGTGGCATTCAAGTTTTTAAATTAATGATATATATAGCTTTGCCTAAACAAGACCCACATTTTAGAAAACAATATGTTCGCTAGAAATGTAATTAACACTTTTTTGTAATATGTTTTCGGTAAGAATTTAAATGTCTAAATAAATTAGTTATCAGTTAGGGCAGTCGCGTTGTTTAGTACGGTTAGAAGGCACTAACTTTAAGACCTAGTTAATATCTCTGCAAAATCATATGACAATTATTGTTCCTAAACTTAAAGAAGGTTATCTTAATCTACGGTTAGTTATGATTTGAGAGTGGGTGGGGAAAAAAAGACCGGACCTTCCGACACCGGCTGTTTCCGTGCGCCGGCATCCAAACCGTAATTACCTTTAGCAAGTCCAGATCGGAGTTACTTAAAGTTGGTTGCTCCACATTGGCCAATCCGGAGTTCAGGCTGGGAATTGTCACATTTCCGCGGAAAGAAAATATGTCAGAGTTGGCAACCAGCGAATGTTGGAGCTCCACTGTAACCCAACTGTCATGCTCGAGGAAGCCCTAAAGAATATATTTAGTGATGTGTTTATAGTCAGAACTTAGGCACTTACCCAGCTGCCAGCCACTGCGCCCAGCACGAAACAGAGCAAAAATTCCGCCTTCAAATTCATTTTTCCTCAGTAAATTGCCAATTTTAACTTTAATTTGTCAATCGTATGAGGGACGTTGTACCTAGTGTGACCGCGTAGAGTAAATATACCAATGGGATTTTACAAAATATACTAAAAATACTGCACAACGTTTGGGGTATTCTAATTTCGCTTGCCGAACCACCTAATCCTTAAAAATTCAAATTTCATTTTCAATTTATTTAGTTATTAATTATTTTCTATGCCAATAATTAAAACTTTTGAGATTATTTTTTTGGTTTAGCCTATTATTATTTGATTTTTTTAAGCCACATTCTGCTTTTATAAGTTTAAGAGATCAATTTAAAGGTTAAAATATAACTTTTTTTAAGCTCACATATTTTTTGTTTTGTAAAGTTCACCAGGTGCACTTTATTATCGTAACCTGTGGTTTTTACTCTCATTATGTTGGGACTTAGTAGGCCAGTAGAAGATTTATAAATATGGCGAAATAGCAATAACTGCTGATCTAAAAAATCCCAACCATAATGGGGGCACACGTATTTCTAACAAGAAACCGACTTTATTTAAAGCTGCTAAATAACTGGCAAATATTTCAAGTGAACCTAATCTTTTATAGTTAACTGGTGAGAGATCGGCAATATCGGGTTTGGCATGCATCAAGTTATGTAATGGAGAGTTCATAAATATGTTGACACAATTTATTTTAACAAATTTAACCCTCTAAAGAAGATTGCCCATATAAAATTAATATTTAAGTTATATTTTAACAAATGTTTAAAGCTATACTCAATCACTAAGGTGGCAAATTTATTAAAATCAAATTAAAAATAAATTGAACTAAAATCCTTCAGAGCTTTCCATATATTGTTATCAAAGTGTTAATGTCACATAAAAAGTGAAACTAGATAGAGGCGCTTTTGTAAGGTTTTAAATCGAGGCCAGTTGAAATCAATCGAAACCTAAGAAAATAAATCGTCAGGCATCATTGCTCAATTACTTGTTTTCAAGTGTTTAAAGTTACTAGCTCACAGGCTTTGTTTGGATTGAGTCAGCACAGTTTTAAAATAATTTCCATCATGTATGGTCAATCGGCTATTAAAGTAATTGTATCAGAGTGATTTAGAATTTAAATTAACAAAAGATCTTTTATTTTAACATGGCATTAATACATTAATAGATGAAACGACAACAAATTCATATTAGAAGTCTTTGGAAAAGCCCAATTTTTTCAAATCATTGGGAATTTCATGCCTTCACAAACTGATTTTGAGTTGTGCACAATTGAAACGCATAAGTGTTCGTTGTAGTTCAGGTCTCGAAGCAACTAAAAATATATAATGTTAACTGAGGAATAAAATTAAAAAAGTCTTTTTATACCTTAGGTGTTACAAACAAATACTGAGCAGAGCCGTGCTTAGTAGCTTCTTTGAGGAGTAAGTCGAATATGTGTCGCTCATTTTTAGCATCCATGCCCTGATTTATCTCATCAACGCACCTAAAAACAAGGACCTTATATTAAATCAATCTGCATGTCGTAACTCTATATCAACATTACCTGAATGGTACATGAGTGACATGTTGCAATGACAATGAGTAAATTGCAATCGATACAGCGCGTTCGCCACCGGATTGAATGAACTTATCCAATGGCTGTAAGTGGGCACCCCTCCTAAACTGGACCATTATTTGAATGCCGTACGAATCAAAGTCGAACTAAAAACAGGGAACCATTTATAGTGCGTTAAATACAATTGTCAACAGAAATAGCTGCGACTTAACTACTCACTTTATCTGTTTTGGATAAAACAACTTCTCCAACATAATCAATTGACGCCATAAACTCGCTGAACTTGGTACTAATTGTTTCTACCAAGGTGTTTAATTTCGGCTCCCATATGTCGTATAAATTAGACATTTCCGATTCAATGGTTTTTGCTTGGTTAACAGACTGTTGAATGCTTTCTTCCATCAGTTTGACTTCATTTTGCAATTGTTGATAGCTGTCAATTGCCTGAATATTAATAAAAGATTAATAACGAAGCACAACAAATTTAGTTTTAGCAGGTGTCATAATAATTTATTACCTCTGTGTTGACACTTTTCATGCACTCCAATCGTGCCTGTAAGTCATGAATTGCTTCACGTAACTCCGGCAATTGCATGTTTTCCAAATCTTTAAATTCCTTTTTAAAGGGAAATTTGGAACTGTTTGGAATTTCGCCGTTGCACAGCCGTTGGATATCACTCTTCCGTTTGTTGATATCGTTCATTTGCTCTTCCAGGACGTTCATTAATTGTTCAAAGTCTCTCTAGGAGTAAAAAAAAACTTGAAAATACGTTTAATAAATCATAAATGAAATGCTTACGGCTGCTGTAGTGCTCAGAAGCTCGCTTTCCTTGATTGCTTCACTTTGACTCTCATGTTGCACCATATAAACGGATGCCTTTGTCTGGGCCAATTTCTTTTCAACCATGAGTAGCTCTACGGTTTTCAAGCAATTGCACAATTTTGCCTCGGTAACAAGTATTTTCTTCAAGTCTTTTTGCACACTATTATAGAAATTATTTTTAAGAGCGTCCAGTGCTGAAAATACAGGTCTTAATGGTTGATAATAATTTAGTGTGATTGTGTACGCTTACTATCGTCTTTCTGCAGAATTTGCAACTTTCTCCCGAGTGTTTCAACTTCGTTTTTAAGATTATTAAAATGAGCTAGTTTTTGGTCAAGTTTTCGCTTTTTATCTTGTTCATCCCTTGTAACAGTCTGCAAACGCTCGAACTCGTTGTCTGTCATGGTGATGGCGTTTTTAATTTTGTTGCTATCTTTCACAGCTTCGGTATAATGCTTTTTCATTTGTTCTAATTGTTGGGCATCCACTGTAATAAGTTGCTTTTTTCCATGGATAGTGCTCTCCGTAAGAATGGTTTCAGAACGATAGCGTGATGCCGTCACGACGAATCTCTTGTTTCCTGAAACGGATAAACGAACGTTAATTCAAGTTCCATAAGTTTTTCTTGGCAGATTAAATCATGAAATTATATTGTATATTATTAAGATACTATTTATTTTAATTATATAAGCTAGGTGAACATACGTACCGCCAAAATAAACTCGAATATTTTTTGGAATGGATGAAGTATAATTCCCTACTGCATCTGTACCAATTGGAATATTATGAATTGAGTAGGAAGCACACAGCTTGTTTATTATTGGTATTGGCCCGGTAACAAGATCCACAAGATAGGCACGAAAACCCAAGGGGCTGTAAATAAACTATCAGTTACTTAACTTATCAGAATTTGATTTAATTTGACTAAAAGCATACCGTAGATCATTTCTCGAAATACTTGGACTGTACATGACCCTTTCAACTGGTTCGCAATATATAATATTGACTCCCAATTTTTGCTTCACACACAACTCGTTGATCAATTCCGACATATCCTCCTTATCCTCACACGCAAATGCGTATAAATCACGCTGCGATACAACGTTTTCTAGATATTTGGCGTCTTCATAATTTTCCACATTAAGCTAAAGACGAAAAATAATTTTAAATATGGTTTTTAAGCGTTAGCTTAGTTTTTAAAACTTACTTCAAGTAACATTGGGTCGTAAATGTTTAACTTAAAACGCTGCTTGTTCTGCGCCAACCAATTCATAGCTTTAACCAAATTGGGATTTCTCTGCCCAATTTCCTGAAAAACATCCAAAATAATATATGATTTTTAAGACTTACTTGTTATTTTAAAACTTACTTCAATTTTTTGCATTTTCACGTTTTGCAGTCGATCTATTTTATGCTTATAGGCTGTAATTTCTGGAATCTTTTCTTCATTAAGTTGTTGTTCAAGTTGTTTTCGTCTGTTATACTGTTCCATGGCTTTTTCTTTTGCCGCGGCACATGCTTGTTTAACCTTTTCCAGTTCTGCGACAATCTGAGGCCTATTTCTATTGAAATCCTCTAATTCTTCCGTTTTGCTGTCAACCAATTGTTTTACTTTCTCCGCTTCAGTGGCGTTTGTAAGTGATTTTTGAATATTTTGCTGTTCAACAGAATAAACTAAGATTGAATTATAGTTTTTAGATATTGAGAAAAGACAAACTAACCTCCAATTGATATTTATTTTCGCGAATTCCTTGCTTTAGAGAATCCAGCTGACCTTCTATAGCATTTCTTTCTGCCACACCTTTATCTAAAGAACGCGTCTGCGGAAAAAAATAAACAAATATTCGTGTTATAAAGTAAACTTAAATATGTATAGCATAGGTAGTGATCCAATACCTTTTCCAAACAGGCTTCTCTGTAAGACACCTTTCTTCTCTGTATTTGTTCTTGAGCCTGAACAAGTTTGTTGTGTTGCTCCTTCAATTTTTCGCTTTGAGTTTTGGCCTTTTTAACTTTGGATTTTAGTTCGGCGGCCTTTTCTTCTCCAGCCTGTGTTTCAATCCACAATTTTTTTGCACTAAGGACTTGCAGTTTTTGCTTAACTTCCTCGCGTTCTTTGTATTGGGACACAGTCATTTGTAAGCTTTGTAATTAAAATGTAAGTACGTATCTTATAAATAATAATTAAAATATAAGTGATTAAAAATATTGTGTTAGATAAAAGAATTCAATCATTTTAAAGACATCTCGATAGAAGCTAATTAAAAATACCCCAAATATTACGTACTGTTCTAATCGTTTTTGTTTTTTAGCAAGATCATTCTTATCCTTATCTCGATTAGCATTGGTATTCGCTTGTTGTGCCCGCATCTGCTTTAAATTATTGAAACTCTTGGTAAGCTCTTCGTCGCACACGGAGGACATTGTATTGAGCAGGAGCTCTTGGGGATTCATCTTGGAGAAGTCCTGAAATTGTTTAAAAGAAATTAGTAATTTGTAAGTCGATATGAGGGGATAGTATATTTCTTACCTGAACCCGATCCTGCGGGAGGAACTGACACAGATTACTGACTTGTATATTGTAGGAGGATACGGCAGCCAGGAAGTTCTTCCTGGAGGTCTCCTTGTTGTTCACGGCGAAGGCGGACGTTCCGTTCGCGTTGATGATGCGCCGGAAGGTCTCCGTGGTGTTGGCTTCCCGCCCGTAAACCGCCACAACTATGGTCGCCGATGTCTTGTTGCTCTGTATGTAGTCGGCAACGCTGGCGGATCGGTCCAGCAGATGCGGCTCCCCGCCCAGGCCAAGAATAATGGCCGAGACAATGGTGGACTTGCCACTGCCATTCGGCCCGGTCAACACATTCAGATAGTGCTTCGGATGAAATGTTATCTCACTGTAGGAACTGCAATTGCAATTGGAAATACATGGCTCAAGGAATGGCCGAACTACGCCTCGCATGGACATGGACTTACACGAAATCCTTGCAGTAAACGGACTTTATTCGCCCCGTCAATTGCTTGGAACTCAGGGCACTATGTCTCTTCATAACTAAGCATGGATTTTTATCTTTTTTTTTGGTTTAAATAAAGAGTGTTGTTTCAAACACAATTCCGCGCTTTCTAGATGTTATTTTATTTGGACGTCGAAGTGTTGTCGATAACTTTTGGCACAGACAAATATCGATAACATATTAGGGGGACTCTTTTGCTTTGTTGCGTCATCAGACTATCGTGAACACAACCGCTATTAGTTGCATCACAGGAAAATATAATGCGATGTGTTCACAATGGCCGGAAATTATGCTAAAAGGTAAATAAACTGTGGCTGAAACAAAGTGTTCAAATATTTACAATTATTTGTAAATCAATTAATTCAGTAGTCAAATGTTTTAACGCGGAGAATTATTTTATCTTTCATTCTACTAATTGCACTGAGAATTTATTATTAAATATTTTTAGGTGTTATAAAAATATTACAAAAGGCTATTCGCTTGGATGAAAGGACGCGGAACTTCTCGCTGACTTAGTACTCTCCCGGCGGCTCGAATTCGCCATCACACTTTGCTTTTTGACAATAAATTCCTCCTCGTTGCAGCTTATACAGACACTTATATAATTCTCGATATCCTTGTTTTTCAGTTTGTCGGCAATTTGAAGTGCCTTAGCCAGGGCTTCTCTGGTCCTTTCGACTTTGTGAAGGGCGGCATTGGACTTAATTATGAGTAGATTGCTGAGAAACTGCCAAATATTGCTGTTGCAGTTTCGGGCCTCTGAAATGATGCCAATGATCAGTAACTTAAAAAATATGTGAGTATCATAGCAAACCTTCAATAGACTTCCGGGCATTAAAACAGCATTCGTCAAATCGATGTGACTGCAGATGTGTGCTTGCAATTTGATGAAATAAATAGCATTTTTCGATAGGGTATTTGGCGAAAAATATTCGATTTTCAAATCGGCTGATTAAGCGACTGCAAATTGAAGGAGCACCAATAAATTACGAGTTATTTGGATAAATAATCAATACACATTACCGAGATTTCGACAAGGCCGGATTTACGGAATCTATGCCCTCCTGATGCGTAGTGCGATCCCCAAATACGAAGTTTTGTGCCTCCATTGATTTATCCATGGGAAAGCGAAGTAAGCGGAGAAGAGCGTTCTTTTCTGCATACCGAAAGTATTTCGGAACAGTGTACTGATCGACATAGGCCAACGCCAATGTATTGTACATCTCGTTCAAAAATTCGAACTTCCAAGGCATAATCCTGTTGGTCTTTTTTACCACATAGTCGCCCATTACTTCCTCCACATAACTCGACAGTTTCTGAAAATAATAATAAACTTAACTTTAATATCCAAATTCCAAATGAATTTCTATGTATAAGTAATACATTTAAAAATAACTTACTGTTAAGTTTTTAGTTTGTCGAAGATATCGAATACTTCGCAGGGCAGTCTTCATGTTACGACTAGTTTGGTACTGAACTCGATTTAGAGAAGCTTCCCGAAAATCGTCCATTAATTTCTTGTTTGTGAACTTCTGATGGCGGATATTGTACATTGGGCTACGGGCTTCCAGCATTTTCTATAAAAAAAATAATTAGTTTTACATAATTACTCAATGGATGCACTCACCAAAAAAATTTTGATCTCGTCATATTTCTTGAAAGTTAGCGTTTTTAAAAACTCATTGCTTTTTTTGCACTGATCCAAAAGCAAGTTCGGATTCCTAAAATTAGTGATTGTATAAAAATGACCAAAATGAATTTAAAAAAAAGTTTTACTTTCGGACATGCTTCAGAAATATGACATCGTGCCATGACCTGTCTATGAACATTTGATTAAAGACATCAAATGCACGATTTCTTCTCGCAATTTCGAGGGGAGAAAGCATTTCATTCTAGCAATGATTACAAATTGATAAACAGTTGAAAATTAAAAATCGTTATTAGTACAAACTTCGATTTCCGGAATGCTCAGAACGTCGCATTTTTCTTGTTCCTTCAGTATTTTCCAAAGTGGTCTGGTATCTTCTTTATACTTGTTAAGTAATTCTTTTAAGTGCACTATAAGTTTTTCATTTTCATGGACAAAGTGTGTCATCGATGGGCCACAAGAATCTTCAATATTTTCGTCCACCTAGAAAAACTTCGGAGATCAGGAAGATATTTTTGGGTAATGAACTTAAGACAAAACTTACCACAATAAGACGTTGGTCAAACATTTTGATTTTGTTACCAGTGAACAGACGGGTGTTATTGTGAAGCTCGGCTTTGGAATTTTCCAACTGATTCATTTCATAGAGTGCATCGCAGACTTCCAAGTTAATCGGTGCGTCATCGCGATGCAGTAATTTTAATATTTCTGTAAAAGATATTACGAAATAACCAATTAAGTTTGGTCGACTATAGCATTCAACTTACGCTTTGCATCCAAACTGTCCTGGAGGGCACTTTCGGCCAGGGCATTTTTCCTCTTGCTCTGACTACGACGGTACAGGGTCGTAAAATCTGTAGGTCCTAGTTTGAGGGCCTTGTCGAAGTAGTACATGCCAAGATTCTCCCTCCGCCGGCGGCAGTAATAAGTTCCCCAGTCCTTGTAGATCCCCTGCTCAATTTCCGGGCTCCAGTCTAATTTAAGCCATATTGGTATAGCTGCCTCAACGCCCTGAGCCTGCGGAATGAACGCTTCCGGTTGTATTATTGAAGTCATTTTTATTTTATTTATTTATTTTTATTTTCTTGTTTGATCAAAGAATATTTAAAGCAAACTGAAAATCATTTTAAGAGATTTGTCAAATATAGACTTTTATTCAAATGGTTCTACGATAAGGTCATCGGAGATCAATAGAATTTCATAAATTGTAGTAGAGATTTTAAATTTCAAGTATTGATTAAATATTAAATATAACTTTTAAAAAGGTAACTGTTAAATAGGTATTTAAATAGTTTTTTCAAACTGTTAATGGTTAAGTTACTCTCTAACCTTTAGTGCCGATTTCTCAATGTGATGTTAAGGTGTTAGTTTGTAGAGAATGATAGCTTAAAGTCGGAAAAAGAAACAAAGAAAAACAAACCGACCACATAAGCTGACCCACAAACTCTAACTATAACATTTTTTGCACGACTAATCTTAAAGCTTGAGTAAAAAGTACTTAACTCTATTGTAAATGTTTCCAAAGAGCCATTTTTGTTGGTGTCAAAACTTAAATGATGGCGTCAAAAACATCTTCTAATTTTTCAACGCAATAAAGCACCTAGATCAGTTCGATGGAATGTGATGCTTAGCAGGCTTCTGGCTTCAAAAATGTGAGAAGTGAGTAAGAAAAGCTTACATCTTTATTTGCATTACATCAATGTGAGGCACATCGGTTAGCCCCAAAGCCACAAGTATGGCCGAAATTGGCTCCCACATGCAGTTCCACTTCAACGCCTGCGCACTCACCTGCCGAATTGCCTTTTGGCCAAACTAGGCAGCACATCTGGATATGCAAACAGTTGCTTTCCACCTGTCGTTGGCCACGCATCCTGCGGAATAATCTTTGCGGCTTATCACGCACTTAAATTGTCCACTAATTACGAAAACCGGAGTGTCAAAAGAAGCCAATTAACAAGTCTTAAGGCAGAAGTAGTAATGAATGGACCAAGAAGTTCTACAGGTGCTGAAAGGAAATAAGTGAAATGATGTCATGTAATTTTTAACCATTCAAATTCTTATAATGTTTTCGTAACATATGTATTCGTAATTCAATAAATTACAAAAGTAATAAATCACATTAGCGATATTGTAGAAGATCATTTCGATAAAGCATAATCCGAGTCGTTATTAGTGTAATTTTTTTTTATCTTCACTTTAACAGAAAAATAACTTTTTAAACACAAATTTCGAAAAATATTTTATTTAAAACCTTAGTGAGCTTAAAGAACAAAATGTATGTTTAACTTATAATTTCTTTCTTTATATTTTAATGGGGTGCAGTGTTCTTACTATATATCAACGCATGTAAGTATTTACTTATGTATGCACCGATGAAAGCTTTTTTACATATAAAATCTTCATAGTTTGGTGAACTTTTGCCCAAGGTTCAAAGTTCTTCATTTTTTAAAGTGCTTACTTATTCAAAACTAAGCTAAGTAATAAGATTAAACGAACTTAAATTAGTATTGTTGTCGAAGTTCAGCATAATTAAGTCTAGTCTGGAATTCACTTACAGCTTTGAATAAAACAACAAGAACACTAACACCAACACATCTCTGCCTTATTCATCTTCATCCGCACTCAATAAATCCAATAAAAGCAAGTGCCTTGGGATAATGGGCTATGAAAATTCCCAGATGTCCATGCATAATTATATTCAAGTCTTGGCGACACCTGACATATATTGCACCTGTGTGTATGGAAGACATATATACATATATTATATATATGCGAACTTGTGGGCTTCGGCACCCAAGTAATTAGCAACACGTGGCTTGGCCACTGGTCATGGAAAACTGGAGGGGGAGGAGTTGCCAAAAGGCTACCAGAGGCTGGGGTCGGTCACCGGCTAAGTGTCCCTAATGGCCAGATGCTGGATTGGATTAGCTGTCTCAAGAGTGCTCCCGGCTCTCCCGAGTCTAAATTGGATGTTTTACTGATTTACTGGCTTACTGATTTACTGGTTTACTGGTTGGGGGCTGCTTCTAATGAGACTCCTGCTATTTATTATTTTATCATCCTTTGAGGCCGTCGTACCTCAACTCGCTTCCTAATCACACGTGCGCCTTCCTGTTTGCATACGTCGTCAAATTAAATTCACGTCTGAGCACACTTAGTTGGAAAAGTTTGCAAGTGCGTGAAATTCTATAGTTTGCTTCGCTTAGCCAAAATATCTCAACGCTTTGTGTCGAGTTTGTCTCGGCGACATATTCATAATAATAACAAATTCTGTGCCCAACACACGTGCAAACTTTTCTGGTTGCCAGTATTCTGGTTTTTGTGCATAAGCTATTGTTAACCCCGTTCAAACTGGCTTAATAAATTTAGCCAAGATGCTGCTGCCGACACTTGCAACCACAATACAACTAATAATCTGTGTGCATATTAAATTACATTTTCTTCTGCCTTAAGTTTTAATACAAGAGGCTTTAAAGTTTCCTGTTTACTTCACGATGAGACAATCGAAATTTGAAAACTTTTTTGTTTACATTGTAAATCACTTGACAAGAACTTAATAATTAATGATATACTTGCTTACAAAATTAACTGACAGCAATTAAGTCGTACATCGCTCGAAGTATGTGTATACTTTAATAATATACATTTTCTTAGAGAAGTAAAACTAACCAGATGTGTGTCAGTTGATAAGATAACATCTTCATAAGCAAATAAAGGCCAACGTTTTATATGGGCTTTAAGAGCTTTTTAAAATAAATTAATAAACGTGTGGACTCTTCAGACTAATGAAATTCTTGAAGGCAGAATTTTCTCCGCCTCTTGATTTGATAATTCATGTCTGTTGACATTTCAAATTAATCTATGTGTAGAAAGAAGGTATCCGAGTATGGTCGGAATAATTCTTTGAAGTTATTTTTTAAAATTTATCTTTCAGGGTATTTGGGTTTTTTTCTAAAGATTATAAACAACTGTAAAATGTATATTTTATTAAATATTTAGTATTTGAAATATTTATTATATGGTATCCGAATTAATAGAATCTTTGCTTTTATTTACTAATTAGCAATTTTAAAACTACTAAACAATTTCCTGGCTGGATTCTTTACTTCTAATTTCAAATTATTTCCCAAATTTGTAGTGTTTGTTTCAGTTGTTTAACATCTGATCTACTTATCTAATAATTTAAGATTAAACTTTGTTGTTTTTGACGTAAACAAAAAAAATTACTCATTCTGCGGCATGAATACCAATTCATATCTATATAGTTGTATACGTACACATAATATAGAGTATGTACGCGGTGTTTATAGATGCCTGTGTATGCATTTATTTACAATTTAGCCTAAACCATGCCTTCTTATCTTTTTAGCGCTAGACTGCGGACAGTAATCTGCGGGCATCTAAAAGATACAGTGGCTGTATTATACGATAGCGCAGCGCTGATTTCTCGCAATCCATAAAAAATTAAACGGAAATCGTCGTGTGCCATGGGTTATTCGAAATTCAGCGGCAGCCGTTAAAACAATACTTTTACACAAAATAAACAAAAAAAGCAACAGATTCGGTTTTAAAATGAACTCATCGACAGAAGCAACTTTTTTAGATTTTAATACAAGTCTAAGCAATACGCCAACTTCATATGCAACTAGTGTTAGTTGGGCACCATCCCAAGGATTAGAAGCAGAGGATTACTTTGCCTGCGGCACCTTTAATTGCTCACCCACAGAGTTTGTGGCTTTTGTGCTCGGGCCGCAGACCTTACCACTTTATAAGGCCATTTTGGTAGGTATTTATGAATTCAGTTTTAAAATAATAATTATATTTATTATTATATATATTACAAATAATAATCAAATTGCTCTCCGTACAATTTTAAAATGCCTTTTTATTTGGCTGAAATACAGAATAAATATGTAAATTTAATAAGTTTTTTGAATAGGTATTTTTCAAAAAAATAATTAAATCATTATATAATAATACAATTGCTTTGAATATAATTTTTAAAAAATTTATTAAAGTCTAAAAAAAAGGGATATAAAAACATGAGCCTATACCATTAACCAAAAAAAATTGTTATATACAAATATATTAAGGGTGGTTAGTTATCGTCTGTTAAGTTTTTTAAATAATTTAAACTTTCTTATATATATATTTATGAAAAGATTTTTTCTTTGTTAAAATTTTTTTCAGATAACAATTATATTTGGAGGCATTTTTATAACCGGTGTCATTGGCAACCTGTTAGTATGCATTGTGATTATTCGACACTCGGCAATGCACACGGCGACAAATTACTATCTCTTTAGTTTGGCTGTCTCCGATTTGCTGTACTTACTCTTTGGTTAGTTAATTATATAAGCGCGTGTATGTTACCACAACCAGTTCAACGGAAGTGGATAAGACATTGTTTTAAAATTCTTTGAATTCATTATTGTTAAAATATCTAGGACTGCCAACGGAAGTGTTTTTATACTGGCACCAGTATCCAGATCTCTTCGGCATGCCATTTTGCAAAATTCGAGCATTTATTTCCGAGGCGTTAGTATAAATCATTTTGTTGTTAATTATAGTATCAATAAAGTTTCCATTTTTAGATGTACTTATGTCTCCGTATTTACCATCGTGGCATTTTCCATGGAAAGATTTTTGGCCATTTGTCATCCCTTGCATTTATATGCCATGGTTGGCTTCAAACGAGCTATTCGCATAATAACAGCTCTTTGGATTGCAAGTTTCATTAGTGCCATACCATTTGGACTCCTCTCAGATATTCAATACCTTAAATATCCTTTGGGTAAGCGACTTCATTGTTAAAATGTATATTTGTAACTATATATATATAAATGGTATGAGAGAAATGTTTAACAGGAAGAAGTTTAGTATATTCTTAGTAACTTGATAATGAAACTTTAAATATAAATCACGCAGATATTTATATATTCAGAAATAATTCATATTTATGGTATATATTTTACGAGTGAGGGATTATATTTTATTGTACATTTTTCAGATGACTCCCGCATTGAGGAATCTGCATTCTGTTCCATGTCCCCTGAGATTGTGAATGTCATACCAGTGTTCGAAGTATCCTTCTGCATATTCTTCGTCATTCCGATGATACTCATAATATTGCTTTACGGCCGAATGGGAGCTAAGATTCGATCTCGAACAAACCAAAAACTGGGCAAGTACTTGGCTTCTATCGATCCCAAATGGTGCAACTTCAGGGAAATCTTTTAGGTGTTCAACACGGCAATAACAGAGAAACACGAAACTCACAAATGAGAAAGAAGACAGTAATACGAATGTTGGGTAAGCTTTTGGCAACTACACAATACGATATATATTTAAGGTTCAAAATCACGATTCTCACCCATTTAATCAGTATAGCCGCAGTGGTGATTACATTTTTTGTGTGCTGGTTTCCGTTTCACCTGCAACGACTTATATTTCTCTATGCCAAGGATATGGACAACTATTTGGATATAAACGAGGCGCTCTTTTCTATTGCGGGCTTTGCCTACTATGTTTCATGGTAACTTATTTATTTAACATTTTATTGTTTGTTAAATAACATGCTTATTAATTTTATTGTTAGCACCATAAACCCAATCGTATATAGTGTAATGTCACGTCGCTATAGGGTCGCATTTAGAGAACTTCTCTGCGGAAAAGCTGTGGGTGCATACTATAATAGTGCTTTTGCAAGGGATCACTCCAGTTTCCGCGAAAGTACAGCCACAACTATGGGTAACAACATAAATTACGACCGTGTGCATTCCGTATGTTTCTCTTTAAATAAAAATTTAACTACTCTAATTCAAATTTACTTTTTAGGTTCATGTGAGATCAAGTCGGCATCAAAATAACAAAAACGAGGCAGATTCCATATCTGCAAGTAGAATGTTGATTAAAAAAACATACAGTCTACCGCTACCAAAGGTAAGAAAAATAAATAAAAAACTTACACTTTGCTTATACATTTTATTTTACGCACTAGTAAATTGTTCTTGTTTAAATTTTATTTTCATTTATCTGATATCATGTTTAGTGAAATTTCACAACTATTTCCAAACTTTTTCTCACATGGCTGGACTTTTAAAGTTCAAACGTAGCTTGGTGAATAAATCAAATTAAAAAGTTATTTTACTTTGCGTCATTTTGTCAAACTTTCTAATTCCCAATGCTAAAGTTGCTTACCCCACTTGTTTTTATCCTTGTTTAAGTTGATTTGGTTTTGTTTACATGTGTACCTACGGGAACAGAACTTTTTCGTTACGTTTCTTTTCGTATGTGACTGAAAGAATAACATATTAGCATACATTTTGATCACACATATATTAACCTTGACCTACGTATTTGCTTGCAGAATGCAGACTCAACCGTTCTAAGTACTGACATTGTAATTGTGCTGGAAAATAGCACATCAGCTCGTCACACGGTTTGTGAAGGCGCGCAAGTTGAGAACGATATTTGGATCAAAAATGAGGAGACTTGTATTTAAGCCGAGTCCATTTCAACAAGTCTAGTGTAAACTAATTACGCCGAGTGAAAACCGAAGGTTATGTGCACACCCTTTTATGTAGCTTTAATTTAAGGACTATTATTTGTCTTTGTAGCTTATTTAGGTCCAAATTTATTAGTCTGTTTTAGGAATCTGACTAATTTGGCAGCACAACAGGAGATTAAATTATTCCCACCACATCTCTTCCAGTGAATAAAAAATTTAATGTATTTTATAACTTCTTTAAACTGTGGTTGAGTTAATAATAAGTTATTTTTGCACTTTTCCAGCTTTACAATTTTTTTTCAACCCAAAAATATCACAGTTGTTTGAAACTTGATAAACTGAAACTTTAAGACCAACCTAAAGTAACAGGGCTTTTATGAATGAATACATTAACAAATGTTTACGGTTTCGAACGTTTTGCATAACAATGATCGAAATTATCGTTTTCATGGCTTGTTCTCTTTAAAAAAAAAGAAGCAATGCCAAATTGACTACAAAAGCGAAAGTTGTACCCATTATCCCAGTATCTATAATTAAAATAAATTTTCACTTTTTCTTGAAGATTAAGAGTCAGTGGTAAATAAACACTAAATTTCAAAATTTCTTCATCAGCGATCTGGCATTCTTTATGAGCTAATTAGAGGTTGAACTTTGAAGAATTTCCGAATTACGCATAGGGTTTCCGAAATGTTTATCTGATTTACTTTCACCTGCACTTAAGATAACCGAATTGAAGAAAAGTAAATCATCTGTCAAATAGATTTGTAGCAAAGCGATAAATTGATACCACTGTGCCCCGAGGTTCGAGTGCCTCAACTACATACTTCATCTCCATCTCCATCTCCATTTCCATTTTGATCTTCGAGTGTGATGCTGTGATCTCTCGGTGGCTTCACCAGGCCACCACATCCACATCCACATCCACATTTCCTCTGTGGCAGAGTCTCGAAACTGGTTTAATGGCCATTCCGACGAATTCCAGCACAGCTGCTGGCTCAGAAACGTTCCATTTGCAACTCAGTTGCTTTCCAACCAACCGACGAACGACTAGCCAACGCAAAGTGCCGAATTTCGAGAAGAAAGTGATCGGATAGTCGAGACCCTCGATTGATTAACGGTTCTCGAGCGCTCGAACAACAGGCTCTGAGAAATGTACCCATGTAAAGGCACTCGGTTTTGAATAGATCGCTGCATTTGGAGCCGAAAACCTTAGCTTTGACTTCGTCTTCGACTTTAGCTTTAGCTTTGACTTTGGCTTTAGCATTGGCTGCATTGCCGCAAGGCGTTCCAATTTTTGTATTTTAAACGACTGACCACCGACCGGATAACAAAGAAAGTGAGATCAAGTCTGCGAGATCGTGTGGCGAAAGAAAAGAAGCTTCGCGTTCGTATGTGTGCGTGGTTAATTCGAAAGAAACTTTTTTGCTTTTGGCCGCGGCGAAACTGACAAATGTCAAATACCAATAGACCGTCGTGGAATTAAGACGCGCCTGCCGCCAAACGGATTTCGATTTCGACACCTGAAAATGACGCAAATTGGCCACAGATTGGCCCCTCTCTTGGAGGCCTTACTTCTGTTCGTTCTCCTCGTCCATCGAGTGCAGTGCGATGAGCACAGTGGTCCGAGGGTGGCGCGAATAATGCAGTTTTTGAGTGAGCCTCAGCCACATTTCAGCCACCACAATCGACCACCACCAGGTGCCGGACTACTGCCCCGAATAAGATCACGATCGGATAGCCTACCCACGAAATTCCTGAGATCGCCGCAACCTGCAACAGTTCAACACATCATGCGTCGCGAGCAGTTCGGCAACTTTCCTGCCAACGATCAGCTCCGGAGGTATCAATTCGATCAGAATCAGTCCGGAAGATTTGCCCACGTGAAGGACACTCCTGTGCTGGATGTGGGAAAGAACCAGTTTCCACCGCAGTATTTCTCCGAGCAGTATATGCAAAACTTCAAGTCCTCGCCCCACTTCAATGGCAATGTCATAATGAAGGATCAGAAGCCAGCCTATGCTCCCATCCAGCAGCATGCGATACCCGTTCAGGCCTCCCAGTATCTGCACTATCCCAAGCTCTTTGGCCAGCAGGGTGCTGGTTTCAGTGTGGTTCCCTCGCAACAGACTGCAAGTCAGTACCAAAAGGATGCCAATAGCTACTCGGTTTACGAGGACTCTGAGAATCTGCCCAAGCAGGGGGTCAACTATCGCCAGGCTGTGCCTCCCGCAAAGGAATCGAAGGAGGCGCAGGATTACCTGCAGTTCATGAGCACCAATGAGTACTTCCTGCCCAAGCGAGATCCCGACTACAGGCGAATGGATACCGAACGGGATCAGCAGAAGCAGCTGCAGCAATATCCGCAGCAATATAATCAGCAGCAGCAGCAGCAACACAAGCAACCGCAGCAACACCAGCAACTGCAACATCAACCACAACCGCAGCAACATCAGTCACTGAAGCAACATCTTCCCTACAAGATTGCTGGCCCAGACAACTCGGTCTCCTCCAGTTACAATGAACCCATACAAGTCTCGGACTTGTTCTATCAGCAAGATCCGGCGCCGGCAAACGCAGCCGTAGTTCGAGGCAGCTACCAGGCTGGCCAGGATGTCTTTGTGGTGAAGTCCGACGGCAACAAGGCGGTCAAGCACGTGGTGTCCACTCCCATGTCGGTGCAGGCTTCTACCCAAACCCCGCCAAAGAGCCAGCACCCGGCCAAGAGCCACAAGAGCTACACGCCGGAGCCACTGCGATTCGAGTTCACCGAGCAGGATGCCATCAGGGGATCCATGAAGTACACCCAGTCCCCAGCCACGCAGGCCAACCAGTACTACTACGAAACGGTGGCCCAAGCAGTCCGCGAACCTGCCAAGGCTTCCAGTCCAATCCTCCAGCTCAGCAAGCCCATCAAGGAGTACAGCGACGATCCGGAGGACAGTGCCGATACTGACAGTGGAAAACAGGTGGGTTACGCTTTATTTATTTGAATAAATTTAAAAATAAGCTAACTAGCTTAGTTTATCTACCCTTGCAGATGTATAAATGTATAAAAAATACATACACTAACTTACATACTTTTTGCCATAATTATAATAAATCGATTTGCAATTTAAATTAAAAAGGAATTATACAAAAGCTATTTAATTAAAAAGTAAACATTGAAAATAAACAGAAAAGTGCAAGATATTAAAAGGCTGATTAAGAATTTAGCTACAGTTTGATAAGAAACACATTTTGCTAAAATATTTATATTATACTCAAAGATAATATGATGTCAATCATATATCACAATTTTGATTTTCCCAACAGAATAAAAGTCTTGTAATCTATTATCTATGCTCTTGTATAAGCAAATCTATTATTACCAACATTTTCACATTAAATAAACATTTTAATGGATTTCAGCAAGAGGATGCGAAGGTGTCAACTGGGACAAGTGCTGCAACTCCTGGTAGTCCAAAGGACACGGAAAGTTACTGTGAGAAAATCTGCGCCAATGTTTATGATGAGAACGACGAAATAATTTGTGGATCCGATGGGTACATGTACACGGGAGAAACTCAACTACAGTGCTATTCGTCCTGCCTTAATATAAGTAAGAAATTGTAAATCCTTTGTAAATTCATTATTAACCAATTCTGTTTTTATTTCTAGGTGTGACGATCAAAAGTAAAGGATCATGCTCATAAAATAAATTCAAATATAAATAATTATTTATTCTAATTTAATTAATTCTATTGATTACCATATTTGCAGCCCATTAAGTTAAGTTTAAAATTATGCAAGACTTCTGGCACTGGTAAAATTTAGGGTTTTGTATAGAGCGATTTCGATTTTTATGATGTACAAAAATATCGTGCACTTATAGCTCTCCTATTTATTTAACATTTAAAAATCGATCTAATCAAATCATTTTTAAACTATAAGTGCATGAATATTTGAAATCCATATGGTATGTATTCTCAAAAATCATTCAGAGATTTAGTTAATAGTTAATAAAATTATAAATTGCATACAAATGTCTTTTATATTGGTATGGGGAATATTAAGCCTCCATTGTGGCTATAATATTTATTCGTTTTATAGTTGGTAAGAAGGTAATAATGGCCACCAAACAAATATGTATCGTAATGATTGTTGATTACATTTTCGAGATAAAACCAAAGTCTTTCATAAAAAGGAAGAAATATATTACAAATATCAAGATTTTAAGCAATTTGACAGTTTCTCAGCAGTTATGTACATGTAAGGAGAACCAAATATCGAGTGACAAAACTAATAATACCCTCTTCATGTTGTGCATTAAACAATAGGAAATACTTAATACCGGATACTAATATTCCTTTCCAATAAAGTTCCAATTTTAAAACATATTTGTAAAATTTAAAAGCTAATTCAAAAGCTAACGGACTAACAGAGGCCAGTTAACATAGCTGTTAAGTGCATAACATATATTATAGGAAAATTGACAACCGCGAACAGGGTGGCAGCACTGTCGATAACACTTGTGTAACAATAACGCGCTATCGATATATCACGAACACAAGTAAACCCAGTTGCTTTGTAAAATTTTGTGAAAGTAATTTAAAGCGAAATACTTTGATTTTTCGTTGACTCTCGACCGCGTCCAATGCAACTGACCCCCCTTGTGGCGGCGACAGATTCCCCCGGAAGCCTGGCAAATCCGCTGTGTTCGAATATGCAAGCCTGCTAGCTCGAATTACCTTTGAACACCACAATCACAAATTGAAAACCTCAATGCGAACGGTTTAATCGGACATCGCAGTGCGAGCCCGAGCCCTAGTCCCCCATCCGATCCCGATCCCGTCGAGCGGAGGACACCCGGAAGGAGCTGAGCTGAGCGGTGCGGAACCATGACATCATAGCCGCTGCATATGCTTCCTGCCCCGAATCAAATGTACATAAATATGTATGTATAGACAGCGTACCGCACATATGTACGCACATATCCCTCGCGACAAAACAGAACAGCAGAACAAGTGACGAACGTAGTGCAATCGAAACTAGTGATTCATGGAAAGCGTACACCGCGGCCTCCAGGAGACGGCGGCGTTTCCACTTCCACCCAGCTGTAAGCGATATTTCAGACGACGTCGACGGCACACAGCAACGAACAAAAGTGGGTGGAACGGTCACCCCACCTGCCTGTGCCTCTGCCTCTGTCTCTGCCCCTGCCACCCCCTTCCCTCTGAAAACTGGCCGGTTTCGCCGAACACTGCCGGAATTTAACCTTGCCACCCCATACCTTCCAGTTCTCATCCATCCGTTGGGCTCTCGTTCCAGATTAAACGTGGTGGTCTGCTGCTGAAAATCTTGCAAAATTGGACAAACCCTCTGCGACTTTGTACGACAACAAGAGGTCGTACCTGCGAACCGTGCTCGGAAGGGAAGCGCCATCAGCGAAGATGGTACTACCTCCTGCACCACGCAACCTCAAAGGTGGGTCTTAATCCTACAGTGATTCGTTACTACAACAAATATGGTGTAGCTTGAGTAATTTCTGCCTTATAGGTTAAAGTTCACAGTGCCTCGTAAAGATTCATAACTCATTGCAAAGAGATTGGGTTGCTCGTTACTCCTTAAAAATAGTATAGTACCAGGATTTAAATTTCAAAATCGTTAGATATATATATTTAAGTAAATATGGTTCAAAGCCAACAAATATTATTAGATAATGGCAAATATGGGTTAAAAAGTGTCCTTCCAAGCCAAAAAACCTCATCTAACCAAACATGGTTGAAATAAGCTTGATATAAGGATTGATTCCAACCGAATGTGGTTGAAAGATGTTACTCTATCACCCCCGGGTTATGTCATTTCAATCCAATTATTCCAAAGTCAAAAATTGATTTAAAAAGCTGTTAAACTATAATTATTCTCAAGTAATTATTAAAGCTATCGTAATGAGGCAATCATATCCAAGTCCGTTAAAGAAAACTCGTAAAATGAAACCGCTTTATTATTGATATTGATTGTTAATAAACCTGTCAATGGAAATTTACTGAGAATTATGGAGCAATTGCATGAGTGTTTACCTGTAGAAAAATCTAATCAACTTTACCTTCTGTTGTTCTTTTAGGAATACCTCCATTTCTAGCGAGGAGCAAACTGTGCAGGGAGCTAATATACAAAAGTCGGGACACCGATCATTTAATAGGTCTGCCTCCTCTAGGCAAAACCCGAACCCGACATCAAAACTAAAAGACACACTGAGCAGAAAGCCCAATCGCAAGCAGGACGCACTTTCTGCACACACGAGCACCAGCAGCACCACATCGATCCAGTCACCACCCATCGAGCCAGCTTCCTCTCTGCCCACGCTGCACACCACGCATACACCACCGGCTTCCAGCAAAAGTAACCTTTTTGTGCGGGTCCTGCGACGCTTTTCGAGTAACTCCCTTTCCGGTAAGACGACGACGGTGAGCCCAAAAATCGAAGTCGACGCACCAAAGGTCAACCATAACAACAACGGCGCTCTGAACGAACGGCAAACAACCGATGTAGAGGTGCTTTGCTCTCAGGACAACCAGCGCAGGGAACACAATGAGGACAAAATGGATGGCAAAACAGAGCCTGCAGATGCCAAGAGCAACCAGAAAGCTGGTCTAGCTTCGGGCAATCCCAAAAAAGACAAGTCGGCCAAGGGGACGTCGCAAGCGGTTGTCTCAGACACCAAGAAAATGGAGGCCAGAAAGTCCTCCTCAGACACGGTGATCGAGCCGCTGATCAAGCAGCAGGCTCCGCTTCACTCGTCCAAGACCACGCCCACGACCCTGACGGCGAACTTCGTGCAGAACATTCGATTCGTGCGCAAAAATGTGGAGCAGTCGGGCAGGAACACCAATCCACTTCAGTTCGTTGAGCTCGAGACGGAGTTTCCGCGCGACTATGATGACAACATCGAGATGCTGTCCCGCGAGGCGGAGCATTTGGAGGAGCAGTTCCGCACACCCACGCGGTCGAATGCCACGGATGCCACCGCCCACCAGGTGGCCGGCATCATCGACAACATTATTACCGAAGCGTCACGGAGTCTTACAATCGAGAAGACTGAAGACGATGTGCCATTGAAGTCCTCCGCCAAGCACTCGAGCGGCGTCAAGCGCGTTGGCTTTCAGGTCGAGGAGAAGGACGACACAGAAATCCAGAGTGAAAAGCAGCCAAAGAGCATCGACGATAAGGCCAAGAAGTCGGAGAGCGCCGAGGTTAGCGTAGAGGATTCCTCTACTGTTACCGGGCTCTCCTCGGATGCATCCGCATCCCTGCTGCCCTCCACGACCACGGTGTCCACCACCTCGTCAGCCACATCGATCACCAAGAGCAAGAGCGATGAGGACGACGACCCAGTGGCCATGTCCCCGTGCGGACGTTTCTTCAAGTACGACAAGGAGGTCGGTCGCGGTTCCTTCAAAACAGTCTATCGTGGCCTGGATACGTTGACGGGTGTTCCAGTTGCCTGGTGCGAATTACTGGTGAGTGGGGCAATGGATTTCGAACACCTTAGTTATATTTAATATATGGTATGATTTCAATGTAAAGCTAACGCTGCAATGGAATTTATATTGCTTAACATCGGTCTCTAAATTTCTCAGAAAAATAATTTTTACTTTCTACGGAAAGATAAATAATTTCAAGTCAAAGCAAATATAAGCCCGAACTTGCATGAGTAAGCTATCAGAGTGATAATGGTTATCATGATTAATGATAGCTTAAACTTGTTTTAAAATGGTCCTGACAATTTGAGTAAATATTAGTGGAATATTTTTGATATTTTTCATATTTTTACAGGACAAGCAAGTGAAGAAAAGTGAACGCACCAGATTCCGCGAGGAGGCAGACATGCTGAAGAAACTTCAGCACCCAAACATTGTGCGGTTCTATACGTATTGGGAGTTTCCCATTGGCCGCAAGAAGAATATAGTACTAGTCACCGAACTAATGTTATCTGGAACTTTGAAATCGTAAGACTATACCTTGCTTTGGATTGTGGGTCTCAGAAATACAAACTCTTATTTACTTTTTGACAGCTATTTGAAACGATTCAAGAAAATACACCCAAAGGTATTGAAGTCATGGTGTCGCCAGATCCTGAAAGGCCTCAACTTCCTGCATACTCGTCAATTTCCTATAATTCATCGTGATTTGAAATGTGATAATATTTTTATAACTGGCACCACTGGTAGTGTTAAAATCGGCGACTTGGGCCTGGCAACGTTGAAAAACCGCTCCCACGCGAAATCTGTGATTGGTACGCCGGAGTTCATGGCCCCGGAAATGTACGAGGAGCACTATGACGAGTCGGTGGACGTGTATGCCTTCGGCATGTGCATGTTGGAGATGGCCATCTCCGAATATCCATACAGCGAGTGCAAGGGTCCGGCCCAGATCTACAAGAAGGTGATCTCGGGCATTAAGCCAGCGGCTCTGGCCAAGGTGGAGGATCCCAACGTGCGCGATATTATAGAGCGGTGCATTGAACTGAAAAAGGAGGATCGCCCCAGCTGCAATGAGCTCCTGGAGTCGGAGTTCTTCGACGAGGACATCGGCATACGCGTAGAGCCCACGGCCTCGGAACAGTTCCTTTCGGATCCCAGCATTAGCATCATCGAGTTTCGGCTGCGTTTTATGGACCCCAAGAAGCGCTCGTCGCGCCACAAGGAGAACGAGGCGATCCAGTTCGAGTACAACATCAAGCACGACGAGTACGAGCAGATTGCGCAGGAAATGATGAAGGAAAACATTATATCGGAGGATGATTCGCGCGCAGTGGCTCGACTCCTAAAGGTGCAGGTTGTGTCGTTGCTAAAGGAACGTGCCCAGCGTCAGACCCAGATAAAGCTGCAAAACGAGAAGTCGCGTCTGGAGAAGCTTGCTTTGCAGAAGCAACGCGAGAGCTTGCCGACCAACGTCGACGAAGACGAGGAAGAGGAGGAGGAGTCCGAGGACGAGGAGGATGGCGTCAAATGGAATCAGCGTCTGCAGCTCAAGTATGACCTACTCAACACTGATTCGGAAACTAGCCTGGCTCTCTCCACGAACAGCGTCGAGCCCCAACAACTGCCCACACGCTCGAACACTTCGATCCCGAACACTGGCATCCAGCAGCCTGTTCAGGTCCCAGTTCCTCTGGCCGTTTCCCAGCTGATCTCGGTGCAGCCGCAGGCTATCCCCTCACCGGCCATTCCCATGCAACAGAAGCCAACTGTGCACTACATACAGCCGCCGCAGTTGGCCTCTTATCAAAACTCGAATCCGACGATGCAGGAGATGACCAACAACCAGGTGATCTCGCCCACAGGCAGTCAGCAGATGCAACAGCAGCAACCCATTGCTGCACCAACCGTCAATCATCAGATGGTGCCGCAACAGCAGGTCAACCAACAACAACAACAGCAACAGCAGCAGCAGCAGCCACAAATGATGCAGCAGATGCCCCAGCAAGTTCAAGTGCAGCAAGTGGCCCCGCAACAACAACAACCGCAAACTGTCTTGGCCCCACAACAACACGAGACGCAACCACAGCAACCACAACAACAACAGCAACCACTGGCAGATCAACAAAAGAGCCACCAGATTCCGTTGCAGCAGCAGTTGCAGCAACTAATGCACACCAACGTGCAGACACCGGACCTGGCGCAGCAGCAACAAATGGCACAGCAGCAGGCCCAGCAATATTTTCAGCAGCAGCAGCAGCAACCACAGCCGCCGGTTGCAATGCATCCAAATCAACTTGCCCAGCAACAGCAGGCTTATGCGATGCAACAGGCCGGGCAGCAGCAACAGCTGTCGCAGCCGCTTCAAATTCAGCAACAGATTTTACAGCAGCAACAGCAGGCGGCTGTCTCGCAGCAGATATTGCAGCAGCAACTGGCCCAGCATCAGTTGCAGCAACTCCAGCAGCAGCAGCTTCAACAACAGCAACTTCAACAACAACAGCAACACCAAATCCAACAGCAGCAGCAGCAAATCCAACAACAGCAAATCCAACAACAGCAAATTCAGCAGCAGCAGCAGCAACAACAATTCGTGCAGCAATATGGGCAGGCAATGCCACAGCAGCAACTAATAGCGGGTTCGCAGGTAATGGCACCGCAGCAACACCAACAGCAGCCTATGCAGATCCCCGTTCAGATGCAAGTGCCACCCACTTCTGTGGCTCCTCCAATGCAGCAATCATTGCCGCAGACGTACAACCAGCAGCCTCCGCCAGTGGCACTTGGTGATCCCCAACAGCAGCAGCAGCAGCATGCTGGATTTGCGGCTGTGCCTTCGCAGCAACCACTATTTGTGCCACAGCCCACACAGCAACCAATACAGTTGTCCATGCCTTTGGAGCAGCAATTGCAACAGCTCCTGCACAGCCAGCCGCCCCAGCAGCAGCAACAACAGCAACCGATGAGCCAGCAGCAGCAGCAGCAACCTTTAATTCAGCATCAGCAACCTTTGGTCCAACAACAAGCACAGCCGCAGCCACAACTGCAACCTGTTGTTCAACAGCAACAACCACAACAGCAGCAACCTCAGGTAGAGCAACACACACAGATTCCTTCGCAAGTCCTGATTCAACAGGAAAATCCGCAGCCAATCCAGGTTAACCAAGAACTCGCTGTCACCTCGGAAACCATCTCTGCCCAAACCAATCCCGAAAATGGGCCCAAAGCAGAAACCCAGACATCTGTAGAGCAGCAGAAGCAACAAGCAACAGCGGCAACCCGTTCCCAGAAACCAAGACGATCCAATCGGAGCGGCAACGAAAGGATTCCCAAACTAAGTGTTACCAGTGTGGACGAGGGCAGCGTCATAAATTGCCACATGGAGAACAAACTCAAAACGATTACATTTAAATTCGACATTGGAGATGTTAATCCGGTTGAAATCGCCAATAAATTGGTGAGACAAACTCTGGACTTAAGCAACATTCAACATTTAACACTCAATTATGAACTATTTTGCTTTTCAGATCGCCCAAGATTTGCTTTCTAATTGCCAAAGTACAGTTTTTGTGGAAATGATCAATGAAATTGTTGACCAAGTCAAACAGAATCCCAATCAAATCCCTATACCGACTAATTATCGCCGCAATATAGAAAAGGTACATCGCTATCCCAAAACTCTTTCCACAGAAATTTCTTTCTTACTCAATGAAGACTATTCTTACGAGACCTTAGGGTTCTTAAAACGCAGAAATGGATACTGTTTGTTGGATGAGCAAACACTGATGAATAAAGAGATTCACCGATCTGGCTAGAGAATTAACCACCTCTATATTGTATAGAAGACTATTTAAAGACCTGCTTCCGTCTGTCTCTATTGGTGATAAAGGATTTTACCTATATTCACTCAAATTGAAACCACTTTGAGTAGTCCGATTTTTCAGCTATAATACAAGCTAAAAATTTTTCACCAATCATCACGAATAATTCTTCACAAATATAAATATATTTGTTAATGTCTAAGACATGCCTTTAAAGACGAAAAGAAATTTTGTTTAGTATTCTCACCGCTTCATGAGTCAGCCTCCTTCCTTTTCCTCGGAAAAGTCGCGATTCGATATTGAGAAAATGATGTCTAAACGATTTCGTAAAATACTTAACTGAGCGATTTTAATATCCATATCACAAAATCCATGTTTTTTGATTGTCTATCCCTACTATAACAAAACAGGTCCGACACGCGTCTCTAACTCGACAGCGTTCCACGTTTAGGTCACACCAAAGACATAGATCTGTAAGTGTTGAGCGCACTGGGCTTATGTAAACACTTATTTTTTCTAGCTAAAATATTTCTTTACTTTCGAGGATTTTCCTTTTTTCTTAGACTAATTCAGAACATTTACTTATAACGAAGATTTTATTATAATTTCATATATATTGAAAGTTAGTTTTAATGATTTAATGTTAACACAATTTAAAAGCGCCACATCTATCTTTCTTAAGAACTCAACGATGAATGTCCAACAAATATTTTTTTCTTTTCAAAAACTTATATAAAACGAATTCAAATTTTTCTGAATCCCTTAACTAATATTATTTTCTACTACATCATAATGATTATACTATATTCACTAAAAAATAGTGTTTCCAGTTTAAAATGACAAATGCATACATTTGTTTCCTTTTTTGAAAGATACCCAATCAGATATGGCAAAACCATTTTTTTATCAACCCCATTTACATTAAATTTTTGTTGGCCCCGAAACAATCCCAAATTAAATTTTAGGATAAACTTACCCACGCCGAATTTTAAACAAGGAATTTTATTTTTTTCTACTCCTTTTATAATAAAAAGTGGACTTAACATATAGTTTTTAATTATTTTAATTTTACTTTTTTTCCATTTTTATTTGAAATAATAATGCACTTGTACTTTTCCATGACTACTTTAACTCACATGCTGTATACCTATTTTAGCGGGATGAAACCGCCAGCGACATTACGAAGATGTTCGAACCCACTATCCATGGTGTGGAGACTCTGCCCTCCGGCGGAGGAGGCGCTGAGTCGTCGAACCCCAATTTGAGTTTCGAGACCAGGTCCATCATAACCAATGCGCAAGAGCCGCAGTTGAACGTTGGAACGCCACCCACAACCACTTCGACCATGTCTTCCTCATCAACCGCATCGAGGGATGCGCCCAATAGCAGCAATGACGTGACCATCGGATCCGGTTCCGTGTCTCGCAAGACAAGCACAGCCTCGGAATACACATCCCTGTCGATTGACTACATGCCCGACAGCAACATAACTCCAACTGGTCCGGAGCCACCGTTCGACGATGCCAAGGAGAGATCACAAGGACAGAATGTGCATCAGAAGCCTTGCTCCCTCGCTATCGCTAGAATGCAAAAGCTTTTGGAATCGGCCGGCGGAGGGGCTCCGCGTAGCCTGAATCTGCCCTTGAACCGTCATTTAAAGATTCAGGAGGACTTGAAGCATACCAGAAGCCTCGACGACTTGACCGCTGTAAAGATAACCTTTGACATGCCCAACAAGGCCGCATTGGAACCTTCGGAGAACCCCCAGCCATCCACTGCGGTGGAAGCGGAAAAGCCGAAAGATAAATCCGCCCAAGCAGCGGGAGCCCAGGGAGCCGGAGCGGCCAACACTCTGGAGCAGTTGAAGATAGAACTAGAGAACATAACTCACGCCCACGCCTTCGCCTCTGCAGTAGTGGCCTCCATCAATAACAGGACTCCGCACCAGGCCTCCCCGGCCATGTCTTCACTCAAGACTACTTCTGGACAACCACAAGAGGTGAGGATAAACAAATGAATAATACAGTCCAATGATTATTATTTTCCTATTTTAAGAGGCCTTGGTTTGGTTGTCAGTTAGAAAGTAGTTTATAAGATTAATGCTATGTTATATTAAATATATAATTGTTACTTACCTTAGACAAACAAGTCAAATAACGGAGGAGGAGCATCGGTAGCGTCAGTGGGCCAGAACACACCCACTGCAGCGTTGACATCTGCCAGGGGCTCTGGTTCCTCCGTCTACAATTCGCGGCGCACTTCCATCGACAACAGCATGGGCTCTGATGTTCACCTGCACACTGCCACTAATCTGGATGGGACGGTCAGCAACTCGGATCCGACTCCGACTGAGGCATCAGTTGGAATTAGCATAGGCACGGGCCACGAGAAGCAACTGTCCAAGCAGCCCAGCTTGGAAAAGCCATCGACCACATCCATTTCAACCAACAGCAGTGATCAGCCGCAAAGGAATCCCAGTAACGGATCACTAAATCAAAACTCAATAGCTGATTTGGAAAAGAAACTGGCCGCTTTGCGAAATACCGAAAATGCAGAAGAGGTGAGATTCAAGGATGCTTTCAAAGATGATTTGCTATCGCTAACTTTTTCTTACATTTACAGTCTGCTTCGGCCACATTGTCGGTTGTAAGCAAGCCAATCGAAGAGGTTGTGAATCCGAGTGCCCGTAAAATCTCGCGTTTCAGTGTCAGTCGCGTGCAGGAGCAGAAAACTTCAACCGGTGTGGAGGAACCTGCGCAGGGTCAACTGAAGATCGACCTGCAGCTTGCAGGCCCTGGAGGCCAGATGCAGACCAACAACTCAGTGCCGAACGGCAGTGTGGTCAACACGCCAACCGAAGTCATCAGCTCACCCATTCAAAATGTTCCGCTGGCCATTAACGGAATTCAGTTGATTTACCAACAGCCCCAGCAGATCCACCAGCTGCCTGGAGGGGCAAACACTTCCACAAGTGTAGCAGGCACTCAGTGCGTTGTGGTGCCCCAAGTTATCAATCAGAATGGCACCCACATGCAACAAATGCCTAACCTACAGGCGCAGCAGCAACTTGTGCATCAGAACATGCCACAACAGCCTCAGCAGACGCCACTCAATGGCCACTCACCCATGGTTAACAGTATCCAGCAGCAGCCGCAACAGCAATCCATGCCGATGCAGCCGATTCAGCCGCAGCAGCAGCAGCCGCAGAATCAACTGCCACTCATTTCGCAACAACAGCAACAGATAATGATGCAGCAGCAGCAGCAACAGCAGCAGCAGCAGGGCTCCCAGCAGGGATCGCAGCAATTTAACTTGCCTGGCACACAACAGACTCATCCTCAGCACCAATTCATACAGACGCAGCCGAACCAACTTCACTCGCTGCCGCCCCAAGTGGTGAGCATGGCCCAGGGGATACCGCATCAGCTTCCACCCATGCAGACTATGTCGGCCCAGCAGCAAATGATCTCGCAGCAGCAGCACCAGATGCAGATGCAGTCACACATGCAGCAACAGAGTGTGCCCGGAATGTACAACCAGCAGACCGGAGCTTGTGTGCCAGCGCCACAAAACTTCCAGGGCTCTGTTCCCAATCATTTGTTGCAGCAGTCGCCACTGATGGCAACCCAGCAGCCCGCACAGCCCATGCAACACGTTATGCAACCGATTTTTAACGCTTCGTCTGGTGAAGGTAAGCAATATCTGAAGAAAATTCTATGCATTATCTTAAAGTAGTATTGAGTAAAAGGAGAGATTTAAACTTTATAAGCTGCCATCCATAGTTCTAATTCTTAATTCATAATTATTTGTAATTTATAAATATTATACCCCTTATTGCAGTTACCGAAGAGCCTGTATCTCTGGCAGCTACCCATCCGCACTTGTTGCCAAGCGATATACAATCCGTAAGATCAATTAATATGCTTTATTCTGAATGTATTAGACTCTGTTTTTTTTCGGCAGGATATAAAGCACAATCTAGACTCGTTGGTCAACCAATTGTGCAACACGCGCTTGGGTACTAACCAGCACCAACGGCTGTTGCTGTTGCGTCAGAGACAACTCATCGAGGAGGACGAGCTGCGTCTTAAACACTATGTGGAATACGAAAAGTTTCAAAAGGCACTGCGCCAATGTAAGCTATTCCCCTTTATTTTAATATATATATATTTAAACTATTATGATTTATTTCAGCTATTAGCACAAACGTTCCAGCGAATGCAGCTTACTATTCAGCAGCTGCCGCACAGCTTCCAACTAATTTGGCAGCTCCAGCAGCTCCGTCCTCATCGAATCCGACATCCACTAGCTCGGCAAACACATAACTGCGCTAACTGTTTCGCTTCATGCACCTTTGACAAGCCATACTAACAGCTCTACTCTATGTTCTCGGCAATATAATTGGCTCGAGTGTGAGGACGTGGATCTGGAGGTAGATTTTAAGTAAAAAGTTGTCGAATGTTACGGGGTTGTCTGTAAATATTAGTCAAACGCTTCTTGTTGATATGCCATTGTTTTATATTTTTCTTTTTCTTTCTGTTTCACTTTTAATTTAAAATTCCTTATTTCCGATCTTGGCTTTCGTTTATTTGTTTAAAATAAATATTCAATTTTTGTATGAACTTTTTAAGGAAATTGTACATTTTATTAGTAAAAAAAAAAAACTGTAAATAAACATTTCGATAATGTAATAATATAACAATGCATATAGGAATATTATATATTAGTCATCATTTATTCAAAGTGATGTATACATACTGCGTAGTTACTAAATAAATAACTTATTACCGAACTGTTTGTTTCATTTCTAGAATTATCACCAGGTAAGTCGGTAACAATATCCGTTATAATGCAGACAAATTTTATGAAATGGGGCCACAGGATTGAATCCTTTGTGATCTACACATAATTGCTTTTTGCTTTTTTTTCTCTAGTATTTATGTAGCTATGCCCCTCGCATGTACATACTGTACAGTAAGCCACGCCTTTACACGAACTTGAGTCTAAAAATTCTTGAACCAGTATAGCCAGCTAAACATGGATTCCTCTTCCATAAATGGGGCTTCAATAGGACTTCCAGGATACAGACAACCAATGCATTTACCAATTGTACAGAGTTACCCAAACAGAACAATAAAAAATAGCTTTTGAATAACAATAATGTATTTAAATGAACACTTTCAGCTCTAAGTGTAAATTTACTTTATTATAAGTTTCAATCTTCATTGTAAGACACTCGGTTTGATGGGAATGCTTGGCCAAAAAGTCAAGGTTAACATTATAGTTTTGCACGTACTAAATTTACAAATATGTTGTTTATCTATGATTTTCTATAACGGGTTTGTCGAGAGCGGAAGCTCTCGTTCAATTTACTTTATGCTTCGAACATTATGTTGAAATTAATAATACAGAATGCAAGAGCATCCGGGGTAAAGAAACAATAACAAAACACGTGAAACGAATACATTATGATTAGACGACTATATCCATGGAGTCCTTGATTTCATTGCCCCACTCGCGGGCCATGATCATGATCTCGACCATGCTTAGTTTGGGTCCGATCAGCGGGTTCAGCTGCGTCATGTAACAGCACAGCCAGCTGCAAGGGAAAAAGTCATAGATAAGTCTCATTATGAACTATGTTTCGATAATCCGCCCAACTGAGTAGATAGTTAGTACTTACAACAGCCAGCACGTCGCTGCGGTGAGCATCAGGCAGCATTGAGTCACCCTGAAAAAATCAAACTACTTAGTGGCCGTCTCCTCCAAGTTAAGTAAACACCTTACCCCCTGTTGGGACCACGGGCGAAAAAGGGGCAAATAATGCCAATGAAGGCCCAAATGCTGGTGATGACGATCGGGGGCACCCACTCGGAATTCATTTTGCAGGCTCAAAGGATCGACGCAAAGTGCTTTGGGGCAAAATAAAAAATAAAAAGTGGACGATGCGATCACGAAACTTTTTCTCGAGCGACGAATATCACATGACGGACATGGAACATGGGACAATGCACCAGTGCGACCATCCGCGCCTATCGCTGAAATCCAAAGTCACGAAATGGTCACCCTGGACCGCCCAGTTGAAACTTTTTGTTTTCAATTCGCGTTTTCTTTGATTTGAGTTGACTAAAAATTAATGTTCTGTTTTATTAAGAAAATTATTCACAATTTTCTAAAGAACTCGCAGAATCTTTAGTCTGTCTGTTTGTCAAAGTGCAGAGCACTACACCTTTATAATTTATATAAATACAAAACTCAAATAAAGAGTATTTGTAAGTTAATTAAAAACGCTTATATATAGACGTTATATCATATCAGGTAATATGATGTTTTTCCTGTACTTTTACGCAGCTCAATTTTTTAACTTTCATAAAAATTGTTTGTCGTTACTCTGCATTTTGAAATTCATCACTGCTTAAATTCATAACCCTTTATAGGTCGACAGTCGTGACAAACGAGGTAAAAATTCAATCTACCTCTCTCTAAAATGAGATGAAATTTTCGGTGATTTACTTTTATGCCATGGTGATGTTAAATTCATCACTATTTTGTATGGATTTTTATTAATGATTCATTGGTGAAATAGTAATGAACGGTACTAACCTTGGGACAAATTGCTTCCTTAAATACATCTTTCATTGCTATTCATCTCAGTACCTTTACTAGTTTCTATCTATTTGTATACTAAAAACAAGTCAAAAATGTAGTTTTCTGAGATATAGTTTCAGACAATATTAAGGGCACCCTAATTTTTTGGTACAGACACTAACGATAGCTTTTCGTGTCACGATGATAAACGCGATTTTTGCCCACTCCTAGACCCGTGTAAAGTGAATGTCAAATCGTTAAGAAGAAGCATTCTAACCTTACAGCATTGATTTTTGCCAGCGGATTTTCCAAAGAAGATTGTGAAAATGTTCCAAAACAGTGCTGCCCGCCTCCTGGTCCCCGCTATCCGTAGCGCCATGCAGAGCCGTTGCCAGTCGGTCGTCTCCGGACCACCAACCCAGCACGTCTCCACCGCCGTAAGTTTTCGCTGGTTGCATAACAAGGATGGCTCCAAAAAGCAATTACTTTCCAATGACCAATTACTAAAATCAATGTGTCCTTGCAGGAGAAGGTGATCCTGGGCGGCGGCATGTGCGCTGCATCCCTGTTCATCCCCGCCTGGGTGCTCTACCACATCCGGGACTACAAGGGAGAGAAGTAATCTGGATTCGTCACCCCAATAGTTAATACCAATGTAAAGTAAAAAGTGTCAATACGGGAATAGTGCCCCTGAGATGGGGAAATAAACCACAATGGATTTAAACACAAATTGTTGACTTATAGTTTTTTATATTGTGCTAGTTGTGGAGCAAAAACTATAGAAGCATACAAATGTCACACCATTCCAGTTTCAGTTAGAACTCAGTGGACTTAACTCATACATATAACTGTTAATTTTTGTTTCAATAACTTCCTATATTTTGTATTCGAAAAATGGTTTTATTGTTCTTATCATTGTGGTTATTAAAGTAAACAATTCCATGACTTTTAAAAGTTAAAGTCAAACAAAAAGCTAATAATATATTTAACACACCTCCCAAGGATAGTCCTTGAAGTTGAGTTCATATGAAGTTAAAGTAATATGGTTTTTAATAAATTAAAAAAAATAGTTTACAAAAAAGAAGTTTTCTTCGCCCTGGAGAAGCTTTGATTAAGTACTGAAAGCTTCAAAACATTCTATTGAAAGAATTTTTTTATTAAATTTATAGTGCAAGTGTTTGACAGATTACGACTACACCGATTTAATTTTCGAAAAAAAAGAAGTCCAGAAGCAAGAGTCTTGATCGCATTTTTTTTTTGGCAGGTCAGACTATAAATTTCTTAACTTTAGCCGAGTTAGAAGAGATAACTTAGTCAGCGGCGTTTCATGTGTATTTGTGTATATATTTTCACTTGAAGCATAATTTTAAAGGGGCTACAAATGGTTTTAATGGGCATAGAAATGCTTTAAACGAGCTTATAAGATATAATCATAGATGCGTTTTACTTTTTCTGCGAATCCTTGCCGTCGCCCTTTTTGTCCTTGTCCTTGTTGAGCGAGCCGACAGCGTCGCGCACTGCCTCCGACTGGGGATCAACCCCGGGCAGGTTCTCCAGCACGCTCTGCAAGAAGGCCGGGTCCCCGATCACCTCCGAATAGTCCTCGTCCACGTCCATGGGGGCATTGGCCTCGTCCGTCTTGGGGCGCTTCGCCTGCTGGGTGACCGTGTCATCGGAGGCATCCTGCATGGACATCTGCATGGCGAAGGCAATCTGTTCCTCCTCAGTCATGTTGGCGAAGTCCGGCAAGTTGTCCTCGGGTGTTTCGGTGGACAGGGCCAGGGCGCGCTGCAGCATGGCCTCCTCGGTGTTGGCCTCGTTATCTGCTCCGGCACTCTCCACGTTGCCGGGTGCTGAGACCGAGCCACCGCCTACGCCGCCAGCATCGCCTCCAGTCGGTGCTGCTCCATCGGTGTTGGCGCGCCGCTGCTCGCTCTCCTGGCGCTGGCGCTGCTCCTCCATGGACACACGCAAGGCCAGGGCCAGTTCGGGATCCTCGTTGGGATCCACCCCGAATTCGAAGACGTTGCCGCCCAGTCCGGCTCCGCCCAAGCCATCCTCGCCCTGGATGATGGGCGACGAGAGCAGGGCGTCCGACAAGGCGGATCCACGGGGCACACTGACCAAATGTGAGCCAGTGCCGTCCTTGCCATTCAGCGCATTGATGAATGCGGTGAGCGTCTCGTTGTTGTTTCCGTGATCGCCGAAGCTGACAATGTCCACGTTGACCTTCTCCTTCTTGAGGCGCTTGGCCTGCTTCACTAGATCACCCTCCTCGTGATTGATGGGCGACCCCACAAAAACCACGATGCGCATCTTGTGGTTCTTGCCCTGGCGATGCTTAAGCACAAGGTGGGCAATGCGGATTCCAGTCAGCAGGTTTATCTCGCCCTTCGGCTGGATCAGATGCATCTTCGAGAAGATCCGGCCCACATCGCTGGTCAGGGTGGCCAGCACTTCCACGGTGCTGGTGGATAATCAAGGAAAACAATGCGGATTAGGAACAAGCCCAGGGAATCTCAACACTCACTTGGACAATGTCATCAGGCCGACATTGTTCTCGGGATTGGAGCGCAGTTTGGTGAGGCAGACCAGATTGATGCCATCTTTCTGTACGTTCAGACGGGTGGGAAAATAGTCTCCATTGCGCTGGTAGTCGCTGTTATCAAAGCTGGAAAAACACGAATTATGATTACCAGGACGGGCGCCATCGCGGCAGTACGAAAAAACCAGCGAAATCTTTTCGTATTGGCTAAAAAAACAATAATTTACCATATCATAGTACTCTCCAGAACCATTTTCGTATTTTTGCTTGTCACTTTGCCACTGAACTGTAAGTTTTCAGGGTTGCCAGTTCGTTGTTTGTCTTTTATCGGTATTAATATGCTAGATCTGTATGACCTTATTTTTGGGATTTTCGTTCCATTTCATTTCATTTCAAAAATTGTATTTAAATTAAAACTTTTGTTTTATTTATTTTTTGTGCAATGGTGCTTTAATTGTAAAGTTCATAAACGATATATATTTCAAGTAATTTCGTTTTTTATGTTTGATGATTAAAACATTACCAAAATTAACATTGTTAGAATAAATAAAATTAAGTATATTATCTCGGCAATGAAGATTACACTAAATCCAATCATTAGACCCATTATGCCACCAGTTAAAGCTGAAAGTAAAAACAAAAATATAATAGTAAACACGTTATTCAAAGAAGTAAAAGGTATTATACCCATATATTCAGTTGGTCCCGTATACGCGGATCTCACGCTGCTTCTAAAATAGTTGTCGGTGTGAAAGAAGTTTACAACCGCCAAATTGTTTCTAATATAATCACTTGAAAAGTTCTTAAAGTAACTGCTCTGTGCTTTGACGTCTTTTTGGCTAAATGGTGTGGTAAAAGCATCGGGGAAGAAAATTAAATCGTGGCAGCTGGTCAGGCAAAGATCTTTGCATTGCGAACTCATTACGTCGAAAATCTGTGACTCGGCACTGTTCAAACATTCAAAGTGAACCACATCGCATACTGAGGCGTTTGGATAAACAAGTGGCAGATAATAGGGAATACAATTACAGTGTCTCAAAAAAAACAAGGAGTCGCACTCTGCTTCGCAATTTCGTCTGGTATAATAGCGATAAGAAAGCAGTTCTTTTTCGTCACTAAAAAGGCATTGCCGTTTCGTCCTGTGAATGTTCCTTATGGTAGGTAGAGCCTCGAAACTCCTAGCTATAATCCGAAAACTTGTCTGGTGCCCAATCATCACGGGTAATCCCGACTCCTTCAGGCGAGGCTGGTCTATCGGATTATACAGTAGTACCTTAAAAAAGTAAATCATATTAGCTGGACAGAAATTATACGATGTTACCAACTTTGAATCCCTGTCCATTAGTGGAAGAACAAAAATAATCGTTAACATGACCGTTGAGAATAATTTGCAGACCCATGGTAATACCAGCTCCAACTCCCGGTCGAGGATAATAGCTGGAGGGTAATCTCTGTGGATAACCAGTGATTGGATCCCAATCTACGGCGATATCTGCAAACCTATCCGACGAAGTGTAGTCCCGAATGTAAGGGGATCTGCAGGCAAATTAATTAAAATAATTTGGTTTTTCCTAATCAGAGAAACTTTACTTGAATTTGTATAAATAATACGGATGCAAAAAATTGAATATGCAGCACAAGCCCTCATCAACGAATATTTCCCTAAATATATCGGTGCATGGTATCTTTTGTTGATTGAAAGTACAGGACACTATTAAATCCGAGCACTTCTCTGAAATATCTAATATGAAATTCGGAAAAGTTTCGTTTTTATGCTGAATATCCATGTATTGTGAGTAATTAGTTTCCTTATAACAGGTTTTTTGAAGCATGGCATATCCCACGGATCCTCTGGAAACGTTTCTGATATTAATACGATTTATTAATGTCATTTTACTTATACTTACGGTTTTAAATGCTGAACTTTTGATTTTTTCGCCTGGTTCATATTGCATACCGTTATTGCCGGAAATGGAATTTTGTTAATCGGAGTCATTGTAGAACTAACTGTTATTCAAAGTAATGCATATTTTAAAAACGAGTAGGCATAAGTAAAAAAGAAATGTATTTACTTCCTATAATCACCGGGGTGCTGTCCCATTTATTATAAATTCCAACTGCCAGGTTAACGGCCACAAGTACCACCAAAGCGAAAATAATAGTAAAGTAAAGCTTTGTCCACCATGGTAAATTACTATCACTGATAACGTATTTAAGCACTTCCATCGATGTATTCCGTAGAAACCTCCTCTCCCTTCTTCGACCTAATCCCATAATCTTTTCATGCACTTTTTTCATCACACTCATTTTTGCTATTTAAGACCGTAAAGCTTCTGAGTTTTGAAAACGTTGTCCAGAAACTGTTAGCCTCTGCTAAACTCTAATAACTCTTGAGCAAGTAAAGTTTATACACTAGTCAACAAATTGTTCCGCTTTGAAAGGAGCAAAGGATAATGAAATTTGAACATAAGAAAAATAAAAAAAGTTACCATTAATGGATCAGCTTAAAATTGTTTATTTGTTGTGTCTATGTTGCTTTAACAAAAGGAACAAATAAGCATATTTCTTGGTAGAAACTTGTTGACTAGTGTAATGTTGTGTCATTAGGACGAGTAATTAAATGAATCCTTCATTATATCCCTGACCATACTAATTAAAAAAACCGGTAAGTGGTAATTAAATCCTTCTATTAGTGAATGGCTTTTTAAGCTTTAATAAAACAAATGGTTCTTAATAGTGCAGTAAAATAAAGTTATTAGCTTATAGTTTTTTGGAGATGTTTAATTAAACTTAATAAGTATGAGGGATAACTGTAAAGGATATAAAAATGGCTTTAAAAACACAAACACAAACTTTAGTATAAATAATTTTTAAATTTGAATTCTCGTTCTATTCCATTTCATTCCCTTTAAAATAAATCTTCGCATCCAAAATTTTCTTAATTTTAACGGTTTGTTTTGCGTGTGATTTTAATTTTCGATGAATTTGGTCACACTGCGGAAAAAATTGTGAATGTGATCAGAGTGCATAAAACGACAAAATAAAAAATTGTAAGTGCATCGTAGGTTAAATCATCTTTGAATTTAGGTAATTGTATTGTTGTAGAGCCAGATAGTAGTATATAAAATTTAAATATTGCGAGAAATTCATTAGATTTGGCATCCAAGAACACAGAGCCATACATACACCTATAGGAATCTACATACATACATACAATGCATATTTCGCTGATGCTAAGGAAATAATTTGAATGCAAGAGTCGTCATACCTGCATTTTATGTGTATTTCCATCGAAAATAGCGACACATATACATTAGCTAAGCTCCAAAGTCTGCAGCAGTCCTTATTTGGTCATATCCGCGTATGTACGCAGTTGTTGTGTCTGTAGGTATGTGCATTCGGGGTGTCAGAATGCCAATGCGAATGCTAATGCTCGAATTTGGAGGACACATTTCCAGCAGGACTACTCGCAGTGCTAATCGACATCTCATCCCTCCTTTCCTTTTTAGGTCATCGTCGAGACTTGTCAGAGATTCGTAAAATCAAAAGCGTTTGCAATTCTCATAGCAAAATGAGTGCCGTTGCCAGCAGCGATCCAGCCATCAGCGGCATGGCCCTTGGCCGCAGCCAGACCATCTGCCGCTACTACGTGCGCGGGATCTGTCGCTTCGGGGAGCTCTGCCGCTTCTCTCACGACCTGAGTCGCGGTCGCCCGGAGTGCGAGCAGCCGGTGACCCCCGAGGTTCTGCCGAAGCCCAGTACCAGCAGCAGCAGCAGCCAAAGCGCCAGTACGAGCTCCTCCACCCAGCAGAGGAACTGGGCCAATGCACCGGTGTTTGTGCCCAGCCAGAAGCGGAATCCCGCCCGGGATCAGAACGAGTCGGAGGCCACCGTGGGCTCAGACGCGCAGGCAGAGTCTGGTGTGGGATGGTTCAGGCTTGTCGATATTGGGACCGACGTTGTGGATTGGCCATCATCGCTCATCAACAAAGAGCCTGGTGCGGGCTATGTCATTATCACGCCTGGCATCTCTGGGGCCGAAGCTGTGGGTGGGCCATCATCACTAAACAACAAAGAGGCTGGTGCGGGCAATGTCGCCCTCAAGTCTTCTCATCCAGCCTCTTGGGCCGAAGTTGTGGGTGGACCATCATCGCTCAATAACAAAGAGGGCTACGCCTCCATAAACAGCACTCCGCTGGAGGAGGGGATCTGCCCCTACGAGAGCCCCTGCTTGTGGGGCTGCCCCTACGGCATCCATATGGAGCTATGCGAAATGTGCGACCAGTATTGTCTGCATCCCACAGATCAAGCGCAGCGCAAGAAGCACAACCGCGAGTGCTTGCAGCAGCACGAACAGGCCATGGAGCTATCATTCGCCATCGCCAGGTCCAAGGACAAGACGTGCGGCATCTGCTTCGACACGATCATGGAGAAGGCGGGCAGGGAAAAGCGCTTCGGTATCCTACCCAACTGCAACCACATATTCTGCCTGGAGTGCATTCGCACATGGCGCCAGGCCAAACAGTTCGAGCACAAAATAACGCGGTAAGTGAGATTAACCATACCTGTTTGTGAAAACGGCCATTTTGTTAAATTGCCCTTTGTGTTTGGGCGGTCCCAAGTCAAATTCCATTGTCTGGTTATTTCACCATGCTGAAACGATTTGGTATAAATTGGTTGGCTGAAAACTTAAGCTATACTCCAAAAACTTCAATCATTACATTTACTGATAACTGCTTATGCCAATAGATCAAAAATGATTTTGTATAAGTTAATTGGAAGTAGTTTTCATCAGTTACACTTGACCATAAAATTTATTGATTTTTAAATACCAATAGAAGATTTTGTTTTGATCCTAACTCGTTGTAAATTTGCAGAGCTTGTCCCGAATGTCGCGTGTGCTCGGACTTTGTCTGCCCCAGTGCGTTTTGGGTGGAGACCAAAGAGGAGAAGGACAAACTGCTCAATGACTACCGCGCCGCCTTGGGAGCTAAGGACTGCAAATACTTCAAAAAAGGCGAGGGCAAGTGTCCCTTTGGTAACAAGTGCTTCTACAAGCACGCCCTGCCCAATGGAGACATCGTCGATGTGGGATTGCCGAAGAGAACTCGAAAGTTGCAGAGCCAGAATGAAATAATCGATTTGCTTGATGTAAGTACCAAATTTTTAGCAATTTTTTTAACATTAGTTTAGTTTTTTCAAGGCCATTTTAAAATGAAAAAAGCTTTGTTTATAAGTTTATAATTTGAAAAGTTAATAGTTTAGAAGGAGAAACTGTGACACCTTTAAATAAAATAGTCAAATAAGGTGGTCACTATTAATAATGTTCCATGTTTTATAGATTTATCTATGGGACTATGTAGATCGTCGTGATTATCATTGGCTGGAAATATTTTCAAGTGATTTAAGCGAAAGTTCCGATTTCTCGGATGAAGACTAAGCTTCTGGAGCAGGTGGAAACGAAATGCAACAACAGCCCAAAAGCATACAAATTTGGATATACAGTCCCAGAAAAACGTAACCAATATTCAAACGATATATATACATGATACTGAACCAAATATCGAATGCGAAATTAAACAAAAAATGTATTTGGGTACCAAATTTAGGTTACATAAATATTTATTCTCCACTTAATGCAACGAAATTTACAGCAACTTTTCCGTACTTGTATTAAATTTAAAATATATTTAATACCATTAATAACAAGTGGTTCAACATAAACCTAAAGAAACAATGATATATCATTAAATATGAATACACAATTTTAGAGATAAACAAGCAGTAAACAGTACATTTTCAAAATAGGTGATATAAAATGTGTAAACTATGCCTTTCAGACTGAATTGTAAAGATAAAAATACATACATTCTTTAATCGGTTTTCTACTCATTTTTTGAAGTTTAACAACTACAACTAAGTGAAACGCACATAGCAAACCACATAAGTACGTCTATCTGGATATTTGCAGACAATTAATCTCGAATGAGTCTATGCATCATTAACGAGCAGAAACTATTCCCTTTCGTCGATAAATGAAATTTTTGTTATTGTTATGAGCCTTTGTGTTAGAGTATTACTGTTGCATACCTATAATTCAGTATATTTGTAATCGTTGGCCACAAGCGTAATACCCAAACCACTACAAATATTATATGTAAAACATCTATATTGTATATTGATTTTAAGTTTATACTTTCGAAATGTACCTCTTTAAAATGTTTTGTTTTTACTGATACAAATGTAATGTGTTGTCCATTAGAAAAGCAACAATTAAATAAACTAAGGGAATTAACATATAAACCCAACATGTTCAAAATCTAAAAACTAAAATCAATGTAACAATTACTTGACAAATCTCAATAATGGCATAGAATCGGGTTTGGCGATTCAAACCCATTTGTATGTGATTAATAGTTGACAGACAAAAAATATCTTATGAATAATTGGTAATAAGTAAATAGTTTTAAAAACAAGCATATGGTCGTTGAAATATGATACAGATCAGATTGAACAATTCAGTTTAACAAATACATGCTTTCGCAAAAGCTGCAATGCAATGCCTTTGTTCTGTTCTTCATTCATTTCGATGTCATGTACCACAAGAAGCACACTGCGACGGACCCTCGTAGGTAACTCTTCCGCAATGGAATATCGGGTTGAAAGGTCAACCTCATCGCATAATAGTGAGGACATTTAATTTTAAGTGTAATAATTCAAATTTTCTGTGAAATTATGAGTTTGCCCAATAAGATTTCCAAAATAGCTGAACCTATCCAGAAGTGATATTTTTCTTTAATTTTTGAACTGGATTACAAAATAAAATATTGAACGGAGTAAACTCGTTAATCAAAATACTTTTTGAAGTTACTAATACTAATTGTAAGAAATTATTCGGGGTCCGTTCCAAAAAATTATGAATTTCTTTTTAAACGGATTTATAACACGAGCCTTGAATCGAATACTAATTGTGCCATTTCCCATTTTTAAAATTGTTCAAAACAAAATTAACCAATCTGGCTGAAGTTGTACCTAGATTAGATTAAAAATAAAATTTGTAACATTATGTTGATAATAAAAAGCAGGAATGAAATAAACAAAAAAATAAACCTATCCTAATGAGGATAAATTATAATATTTTAATTTTTTAAAAATAAAACTTAAGTCAAGTTAAGATTTGCTTAAGGAGAATTTGGGATTTTCAGGGTAAAATAAAGTCCTTATTTTTTTTAATGCAAACATTTAAAAAATAAAGGATTTACAATTGGTAAGTACAGTTTTTTTGTGTGTTTGAAATTTTATTTCTGTGCTTATTACTGTTTTAGTTTATCTGAAAATAATTTATAATTTAAATTAAAAAATTTATTAATCAAAAGGAATGCTTTCAAAAACCATACATAATAAAATAAATATTTTGAGATAACGAAATTCAAATGAAGCAAATCGGTTCGTACCTTTTCGAGACAGTGCGTAAAAAGAGTTTTCAGAATAACGTAGCCTCATAATAATCTGAAAGTTTGGTTTATAATAGCTTTTCTTTAACTTATTTAAAGTGTTGTGAGAATGTTATAAAAATAGAGGTTCCCGTACAATGTTTTTGTATTTTAAACTTGTAACGGTTTAAAAGTGCATTGCTCGTATTTTTCAGTTTACGGAAAACGGTAATACTTATCAGCTGATGAACTAAAATGTTTGTTTATGCGGCTTGTTACCAAAATAAGGTTTAAATTTCCTATAAAATGAGTGAAAAAAGGCGATTCGTGTGCATTAATTGTGGCCACAGAGTCAAAGAACTATTCAAGAAATACAGCAATTCCCTGAAAACCACACAATGCGTAAGAATACACACTTATTGTCAAAAACGTCGTTGGTTTTAATTTTGCAGGATATAATTTTAGGATAAATGTCACCAAACTACTGATAAATACATCGAGTTCGAGGAGTTTATTATATTAATAGATGCACTTTTGCTGGATTCGGGGGCCTTTCGCCATATAATATATAATGGAGACTTTAAGGTAAGCTCTTATCAAAAGATTTCAATATCAGACTCTGAAATGTATGCAATTTTAGTTATATTGGAAGATTTCGCTGGTGGTGCTGCTCCTGGAATCCTTTGCTCTGTGCCGCCAAAAACTGCCCGACCATTCGGATGCCTCTTTACATGTACACGAAAAGGGTTTCTACACATATACCCTTCAAAATATTGGAGGTAATAGGTTATTGTTTTAATTACTCTCCCTAATTATTGAATTTACTTTGTAGATTACCTTTTTATGACACTATTGCTGCTGATAATTACAGCCACTCTCAGTATTGATTGGATGAAGAAGATGGGTCTTCGCAGTTTCACTTTAATTATCTTCAAAGTGGTGCTCATTTCCAACCTATCCAAGTTCTTCCTTCTGCCCATTTTGGTGTGGCGCAATAACACGACCGTTTTCGGACGGAGTTTGCACCATGTCCTGGTCATGGGCCATCACCTCTGCTCCCTGGTCATCGCCTACGAGGCGGTGGGAGCAACTAGGAAGGATCTTCGATGGTGGGCCCTTATATTGGTAGTTATTGCCTTCGCCTTTAAGGAATCCGCTAGGCAGTTTGTCTCACTATTGCTGGAGGAGCAGTTTACGTAAAGGAGAATTGTTAAGGCAATTTATTTTATAAAAGGCTGAAAATAGAAAACCAAATTTCCTATGTACGACGTTATTGCCAAATAAAGTAATACTAATTATTCAAACGATTATAACAAAAGCACAATATTAAAGATTTAGGAACGATACCTACAAATTTAATTACAGAAAAAGTGTGATTTGTGCTTTCAGTTCTTTTAAAAAAATCGAACTAGGGATTTTCTTGTACTTTCCTTATTAAACCAAAGTATTAAAGATCACACTTTGTTCCGAAATTGATTAAAAATCAACATAACTACAATAAAAAGGGCACACGTTCAATTTTCACTCAAATTTTATTGATTGCTTAAGACCCAGGTTAATCGTAAGGAAAAAATCGACATTTTAAAAACATATATAGAACTATTTTTATTGTGTCTGCTGGTTATGAAATACGTCAATTCGTGTTACATACTAAATGTCGGAAACTGCATAGAACAAATCAATTGGCAATTATCATAATTTAAAATCAAGCAGGTCGATTCCACTTTAGATTAATAAAAAGGTAGTCGAGAAGAGTCGCTTATATAGGCCGGGAAATATTACTTCGCATTGCCATATGCACATACATAAAAAAGAAATCTGAGAACGAATTGATTTCTTGTTATAGCATAGTGTTAGCATAGATATGATGTTATGCCTCTCCTTTCGTATGAATGTACTTAAGTAATTAATGCTAATCGTAAGTCATGCTGCTCATACATATTGTTGTAATGGCAGTTTGTAGCAACGACGACACCGACGCGCAATCAGAGCGGGACGCATTCTGCATTTATATTGAAATCGAAATCGAAATCAGGGCGCACTATAACTAAATCAGCATCCAATCCAATATCTAACCCACGCACACCCATTAGCTACGGCTCGCGATCGATCTTAAGTCATATTCCAGGAGGACGAAGACGAGCTAGAAGAGCAGTCGTCGCTCTCAGTCGTTGCGCTGCTGCCGTTCGGTTTGGGCCCCCAGATCCTCACGGTGGCGTCGTCGCTGGCGCTGGCCAGCAGGGACGGGTACACGGGATTCCAGGACACACAGTTGACCGTCTTGGTGTGCCCGGCCAGCTTGGCCAGCGGCTCCTCGCGCTTGATGTGCCAAATGTAGACGACCTTGTCCTCGCTGCCGCTGGCCACGAAGCTCTCGTTGACGCCGCCGAAGCAGGAGTGGATGGCGAAGTTGCTCTGTCGTATGCCCTGGAAACGGCGCACCAGGCACTTGTCCTCGATGTCCCACAGATGAAGGCCTTGGTTGGAGACGTTCAGCAGGGCCAGGCGGTCGGCGGAGTTGATGCTGAACGTCATAATGGGATGTGGCTCCCTCAGAATATCGAAGTCTGAACGCGGGCTATCAAAGTTGTACCTAAGTGAACAAAATGGATGTATGATTTAAGTAGGAGTTTATATTATACACTAATTAAGTTAAAGTTATTGTTTTACTGTAAGGATCTACTGGCTTTTTCTATTGAACATTATGTATATATCGTATTAAGAAGTCATTGCTCCTACTTTAATAATTTAAAAAATATATATGTATATATTTTTTTATATAAATAAATATGTATAAAAGATATTTAAATTTAATTAATTTGAGTTATGTCAAAATAATTAAAAAGTCATTTAATTATTTTTAACATTAGAAATATATATATATATATATATATATTGAAAAATAAATTTGACCTATAATAGATATATTCAAATATATAATTAATATTAGTCATAATCCTTTAAATCTCTAAAAGGAAAAAAGGTAGTAAATAAACCAATCAAAACCAGAATTTCGGAAATAGTTTGACGGGATTAATAGGTTTTAGGCTAACAGTAACAGGACTGAATGTTAATCTTTTCCATAAAATAAGACCCCACAGATATATGATTCTTCCACATTTCTACTAGATAGATAAACCCAACCAATTTGCAATCCTGCTTACCCTCTAATACGGTAGTGATTATCGGCCGCTAAGATCGTTTTGTTGTCCGCCCGAAAGGCGATGCTGTTGACGCGCACTCCCTCCCAGGAGTCCACGATGGTGCCGTTGAGGTCGCACAGGTAGAGCTGACCCTTCTGGCCGCCGCAAACGAAGCGGGCGCCATCCCGACTGAAGGCGCCGCAGGCGAGGCTGTCCTCCAGCGACTGCGAGAACTTGACCACCAGCTTGCCGTCGTCCACGTTCCAGATGTACAGCTCGTGCGAGTCCTCGGTGCCGCCGACGAGGATGAGCTTAGAGTCGGGGCTCCAGCTGACGAAGCTCACGCTGAGCTGGGCCTGGCCGTCGAGGACGCGCCGATGCTTGAGGGTCAGCTTGTACGGATCAACGTCCCAGATAATCACAGTGGAGTCCTTGCTGCCCGTGGCCAGCTTGAGGCCGTCGGGCGAGAACTTGCAGAACCAGACCTCGTCGCAGTGGTCGGTGAGGATCTGGATGGTCTGCATGGGAAAGCCGTCCGTGGTGCAGCAGTGGTCGGTGAGCAGCGAGACCGTCTCCAGGTTCGTCTCCCACGCCATGTCGTGGCAGGGGCAGTGTTGGCTCTGCAGCTCCACGGCCTGCTGCAGCAGGGTGCGCAGTCGCCGCGGCGACATCATCACCGACGGCGGCATGAACGTCTGCAGGCGCTCCATGACCAGGGCCCGCGACAGGATGCCCTTGCCCTCCCACTTGGCGCGCTGGTACAGGTCTTGGTTGGTCGAACACATCATGTATGAGGACAGCTGGTGCACACGCGATATGTTGTGCTGCAGGGGCGTCAGCTCGCTGCGCAGGACGTGCAGGGCGTCCAACGGATTGCCATCATCCAAATGCTCTAAATACTTTTGCTCTAGCAGTATGAACTTCATTTCGGTGATCGTTGCCAGTTTTCCATTATCAATTAATGGCTCTAAATCCTGCAATATGAAAATATCATACGTTATAAGAGGATTGCGGTTTAACTTGGAATCACAATCTAAAAAACTACAGTTTTCATATTAAACAGGTTATAAAAATAAAAATAAATGCGTATGGAATACGGAGTACAGAGATAGTTATACTCTAAAAACAGTTAACTAGTTTCTATGTATTACATAAATCTCTTTAAATCAAATTTGGTTGAATAAAAAATAATCCAAATTCCAAAATAAATTTGAAAAGAGTGAGGGGATTGAGTTCCCAAGTTCAACTATGTTTATTTCAAGGGATTGGAAATGCTTCTTTCTCCCTGCGAAGATGAGGCCAATTACCTTTAGATCTGAGTCTGCCTTTGACCAGTCACCCATTAGGACATGCTCCCTGAACTTGGTGGCCGAGGGGTGTTCCAAGTAGCAACCCGACTCCACCATGAGCGTTTTGACCGACTTGTCGAGGCCGACGTCGTGCAGATACTGTCCGATCAACCGGATGATCTCCTGGTTGGACTTGTCCAGCTGCACGCCGCTGTAGCTGGTGTTCTCCCGATTGTTCTCGCCGTCGACGATGCGGCTGCTGCTGCCGTTGTTGTTGACAACGAAGCCGTTGTGTTTGGAATCGTGGCCATTGGTGGCGGCGCTGCTGCCCGAGGGATTCTCATCGCCGATTCCGACGCTGTCCTCGCCACTGCCGCCGGCCTCGCGGGCCACGTTCTCGGCACTGCCTCCGGAGTTGGGGGCAGAGCCCTCCAAGGGCCTGGAGCAGGAACCGCTCGACGTGGAAGTGGTGCTCTGCATGGTCGGTCCACTACTATTTGCCTCGGAGCCGGGTGTATTGCTGGTGCTGTGATCCCGCGGCCTCTTGTTGCTTTCGGTCGATTTGCGCTGCCCTCTGCTAGGTGTTTCCAAAGTTCCTGTGCTGGATGAGCCTGGCGTCGATGTGGCGTTCAATTGATGCTGTAACTGCTGCGCTGCTCGCGACGTGGATGCCGCATCTATTGATACTGCGGCGGCGGCGGCGACGCTGGCGACGGAAACAGAAACGGAAACGGAACCGGTGGTTGAGGATGAGGAGCCTCCTGAGCGACGACCCTTTTTGCGCGGCGGCTGGTCCTCGGATGAGGCACCAGTTGCAGCAGCCTTTTTGTTGTTTCTATCAATTTTGAGTCCTTTGCGAACGCGGCAGCAACAAGCAGGCTCTGCTTCTGGCTCAGCCTCAGCCTCTCTGTCTCGGATCCGGATGCGGAACCCGTTTCCGATCCCGAGCAAGTGCCTCCAACCTGGACGGCTGCCTGATGGCCCTAGGCGGCCTGCGTCGACGATTGCACAAGGGGTGTCAGCGTGATTGTGGCTCCGTTTCTGGCAGTTGATAGCACTCGCACTCGCACTCGCACTCGCACTCGCTGATAGCAGTTCGATCTACGACCTGCGGAGAAGGGAAGGTATTTTATTGCGTTATATTGCAGTTACTTTGTAAAAGTTCAGTTCGTAATCTAAATGTTGATTGGGCAGCCAAAAAAAACGCATTCCACTTGAGGAACCCAAGTGCGAATTTCACGTTTTTCCTTTTGGCTTTGATCTACAGCATGTGGGTTATGGAACCCAAGTGTTATTACTTGCTATTTTTTTCGTTTCGATCTAAGCCACATTATATGTATATTTCATCTAACTTATAAAAATGCAGTTTGCGATCTAATTATTGATTGGCTACACAGGTTACATTGAGTTCCCTAATCGCCTCAAACCTTTTCTGAGTAAAATCAATCAATACACAATTCAAGGGTATTTGCATTCGGCTTTTTACATCCTACACATTTACATTTGTAGGTACATATATATGTACATACAATGTACATGCATTCTACGTACATATGTGCATACATCCCTAGACGTTGGCTGCACAGTGGTGGACAAAAACATTGGAATTACTTATTTAATTTACGAATCTAAAGATGATTTAAGAAGTTTAGCTTCTTTAATGTAATTTAAAATTGGTTATTTTATACATAACTATTAACGTTCAATAAAAACTAACTTATCTTAACTGATTACGATAGGACTCATTGGTTTTCCTGGTATAACACATAACTTTTCTTTCTTGTAACGCTCAATTAGCTCTATAGAGTCGCTAACGAGAACTGGTTCACCCACACCACTAGAAAAAATGCACCCCCATATCATAGACCTTAAACAATGGACTACATTGTAGCATAGAACGCAATTGAAATTTTCCAATATTTCAACCAAAATATGATAGAACAACATATAATTTAAACAACAAAATAGAAATATTAAAAAATTAAAAAAATAAAACAAAAATAACAACAATAACAACCCATTTCTACAATAACAAAAACTAACTAACTACGTCGTAAAAGATAACCACAAAAGTTTAAAGATAAGCGTTTTTTTCGGCTATTATAGCCCAAATAGAAGATCTTAAATTAGCCAATACTTCCGCCCCCGACTGTGTGGGCTCGTATTAATCAACTTTGCTTTGTTTTCGGTACAAAGGAAAAATACATCTATTTACATACACGCACACATTGTTTTCCTCACTTTCTTTTTGAAATGTCTGGACCAAGTTCTTAGCCCCAAATATTTTGAATCAGCTAAACACTTCTGGTAATCTGTGCATCCACATCCACTCAGCTGTCTAAAAGTTCGCTAATACACTTCACTTTCCACTGCATTTCTCTTTTGGCCTTCCAAGTGCATCGTAATAATCGTTCAGGTATACAAACAGACACGCTCCCAGTCCCACAGATGCAGCCTTTTTCGTTGTTTATGCCTCTAAAATAGACCATCTAGCTGGCTTATCCCGATTTTTAAGAGAAGTTGGAAACACACCGTAAAACAATCGCCTAATTGACGGGCTTGCAATTAAAAAACAAAGGCGAACTGACACAATATACATACAAATCTGATGATGAAACGCACTTATATATATGCTGCACTTAGTGGGACCGCTCGAAAATACCAAATAATTTCGTTGGCCCAAAAACACAAGAAATACTAACCATTTCTTTTCAAGTGACCGTTTGCCGCCCACATCTTTCTACTTGTTAATGTAATAGCTGTTGGAAAAACTATTAACAATTTCTTATTAATGCTCAGACTCCATTTTCTAATGCAATATATTATGTTTATGTTTTGGATTTTTGTCCCTAAAATTTAAAAATACCGCCAAAGCCAGATGCAACAAAAATATAAATTTTCTCACATTTTCCAAATTTTTACTTAAAATGATTGAGTTATTATTATTAAATCGAATATAGTTTTCTTCGATTTTTTTAAGAATTGAAAATACTTTCATGCAAAAGTTATTTTGTTTTAAACCAAAGCTGCAGGCATTAAATGAAACACAAAAATAAAGACCTTTACACAATGTTATTTGAATTTTCTTAATTTTTTTTTAATAATGGTACACAAAACTTAAAAATAATATGCAAAAATGTTTTCATATTTAAATATTAGACGTCTGGTTACGCCTAGATTCAGTTCAGACGGCCACTTAACTGCTGTTGTTTTTAAAACTTGACCTGAATAAATTCTAAAGAATCAAATTAAATAAAAATACCTAATATTTGAAAGATATTCTATTTTTACATACCGACATAAAAGATAGCACACCCTGCATAAGTTTAAAACAATCGATTTTATATTTAAAGGCTTGTAAATTTTATGAATAAACTGTTAGAAATTAGTCTTCTATATTCATATGAACAATTGTTAAAATTTTTAATTCATTAATTGCCTTTTTCTAAAAAATCAAAAAAATTTCTAAGCCCTTTCAACAATAAAATTATTTAAAATATAAAGAAGGATATATTGAAATACTATTTAAACCAGTAGTTAAAGATGTTTAAATGCGTCTAAACAGCTACCAATTGATTTAAAGTACACTTTATATATTTCACTTTTATTTAGATAGGGTTTGATGTTCCAAAAATGAATTTTGTCGATTTGATTTGCGTTTTGAGATATTACTTTTGTTGATCGTTTGTGTAATGGTGGAAATATTCAACCTATTTACATAATTTGGAGTGAATCGATTTCAGTCTCACGCACATCATGCAAGTAATTCTGATGCTGTGTGCGCTCAAACATCATATTAAAATATAAACTTATCAAATGCCTGCGTATGGGTAAATTAGTACATATTTACTTGATAAATTCATTTATAATTTACACTTTTCTTAAATACTTAGCAATAAACTAAACTAGTCAATACACTATATGTAGTCTATTATTATTTAACAATTTGTTTATAATTAAAATGCTAATCTTTAACTGCTTCACGATATACGCTTATTTCGTAGCTTTGAAACATGCTCACTTACAAATCGCCTTTGATGATACAAGTAGTACATACTGATTTACTAGTTTACATTTTTGTTACGCGAATTTAACATTCCCGTTCATGCACGAAGTCTGCCGATTGCCACTTTTAGATTCCAAAATTAAAAACACTAATAGCAACGTAAATTGGGTTGAATATGTAAAATCATGATTTTTTCAAAAAGTATCTTTTGCAATTATATATAACACTTTTCGTTTATACAGCGATTGATTCAATTTGCCCAACATATAAAGCAATTTGTAAATGTAGCCAAGACTTTATTGAAGCTGTCCTAAACTCGACAGCGGCTAGAGCAAGTCCATGACAACCTATTCTGGCCCTGTCCGTGGATAACAGAATCCCATTATTGGTTACGTTATTGCTAGTTACGGCTAGTTGCTAGTGCCACCAGGAACACTCCTCTCCTGCTCGCTGTTTGTAGCTCTCTCTCACATTGAGAAGCGAAGCATACAGCAATCATACGTCTCCCACCATGGCAGCTCCATGCTGTTGGTATTTGGTCGAGGCTATCACCGTGGGAGGCAGCGACTCCTGCTGTTCCCGCAGCTGCCGACGTCGCTTCTTACTCCAAAGCTCGTGGCAGTCCTGCCACGTGGGCAACTGAGGCGTCGGCATTCTTAAAGAAGACGAGAACGTAAGTTGGTTTCTAGTTTACACCCAAAGGGGATTAACTCTGGCTCTGATATACTCACTCGTCGGGGTTGATTTTCTTCAGCCACGGCGATCGGAGCGCATCTTCGGCCGTGATGCGCTTGTCCGGATCCAAGTCCAGCATTTTGTCCAGCAGATCTAGAGCAGGGGCTGGCATAAACTCGAAGTCTTCCCGCAAGCGACGACGGTGCGTCTTCTTCTGCTTAAGAGTGTGGAACAGAGGCAGCTTAATCACATTCGGCCACACGGCGGGCACCGGTGATCCGCAGATCTTCGATATGGTTTCAAGCTGAGCCATCTCTGCATTGGCTTGGAACAGTGGCCGCTTCACAAAGAGTTCTCCGAGGATGCAGCCGCAGGACCACACATCTATCGACGGACCGTAACGCTCCTCACCAAGCAACAGTTCGGGCGGTCGATACCACAGGGTAATCACCTTGTTCGTGTACGGTCGTTCACGATCGTCCGCATTGTACAGTCTTGCCAGTCCAAAGTCCGCCAGTTTCACTTTACCTCTGCAAGGAGTACAAAAATATATTGAATTCTGGGGACTAATCTTAAAAATAATAAAGAGGTTCTGTAGACAATTCAATCTCTTAGCAAATAAGCGGCCAAGAATATCGTTTAACTGACTCTCTAAAGGTCATTTTACGTAGCTGGCCTTAAAAGGTGAAACTATTCAGATTCAAGATTACTTTCCGCCCACGCAAAACAATTCTTTTTAAATCCACCCAAATGTAAAAATCTCCCCACCTGTTGTTCATTAAAATGTTCGAACACTTGATGTCTCGATGAAGAAAATTCTTTTTGTGGCAGTAGTTGAGACCATCCAGGAGCTGCTTCATAATGCTAGCGTTGTTCTCCTCATTGAAGTCGACCATGCCAGATTCGAGCAGGCCCATCAGGTCATGGTCCATGTACTCAAACACTAAGTAGAAGGATCCTTTGTCCTTGCGGAACTCGACGGCGTCCTGTTTGTCCGTCACAATTTCATGCAAGTTAACTATGTTGCGATGGTTCAGTTGCCGCAGTATTTTGATTTCACGCACTGCAGTAATGGGAAAGCCCTCCTTTTCGTGCTCGAGTCGGACCTTTTTCAGGGCCACCATGTCATTGGTATGATTATCTCGCGCCTTGTAGACCTGCAATGATTGTTAACAAACGATTAGGCATCAGATTTGGGCACATCTTAGTTTCAATTCTCACCTGTCCGTAAGTTCCTTCTCCTATTTGCGCAATCATCTCGAACACATCCACACAGCGCTCGCCCCAGTCGCGTACGTTATTTCGCGAGTCCCTGCGGTTGAGTATCACTGGACGACGACGGGTGGCTCCCTGGCCACCGGCTTTGCCAAGCACATTGCCACCGGCTGGGGCATCAAAGTCTTCGGGACTGTCGATGACATCATCGTCGCCACTTAGCTCTTCGCTGCCAGGAATTACCGGAGGCATCGGTAGGTTAAGCACGCTCTTGTTCGCGTTGGCGTTGGCGCTGGCGGTGGCGGTGGAATTGACGATCTTCTCATCCGATTCCTTTTTGTGCGCCGGCGAAGGAGATCTCGCGTTGACCAGGTCGAGGGCATTCATCCCAGGAGGCAGCGGCAAAGCGGTCAGACTCTTCGGTTTTAGGTTGTTCCTGCTGGCCGATAAGGGTGCTACCAGCAAAGGTGGCTTCGACGGAGTGGAACTGTCCGGAACATCGGCGCTTGGACCCAGATTCGGGGCCAATATATCGTGCTCCTTGTTTGGCATGGGAATGTTGTTGAGGTCCACATCTGGTTTGCCACCCAGGACTTCAAGCCCATTGGAAGTCGTCGACGCCGCTGCGGGTGTTCCACTTCCAGGGCCAGATCGGCAGTCACCCGTGTTGGGCGTATTGCCATCCACCGAGGAACTGTTGTCGTTTATGGTCAGTGCACCGTTGCTGTTGCTATTGCTATTACTGTTCTCCTCCTGCCGCTCGATGATCTCCTTCAGGGCCTTTTGCCTTTTGTGACGATCCTTGACCAGCTCGGCAAACAGACTTGTCTCGCTGATCTTCTTGATGTACTCCTCTCGCTTGTGCTTCAGATCCCTGGACGTGGGCGACCTGCTGCGCGAGGCGGAGCTTGCGCTGCTGGCCGAACTGGGCGAACGGCGGCGGCTGCCCCCTCTGGCCCTCTGACGCATCTTTGGCGAGCGACGATGGTGATGGTGGTGCGAGCTGGAAGCTCCCACCGGCGACGGGGGTGAGGCGTCCAAGTAGCGCGAGCTCGTCCTCGGCGATCTTGAGTAGCGATCCCCAGAGGTACCAGCTCCGGAAGCACGCTTGGAGGACCTCGTCGCATGGGAAGACGGCGAGCTGGCCGTTGTTCCGTACTTGTGTTTGTGACTGCTGCCGTGCCGGAAGGCATTCGAACTTGTTCCACTGGACGTCAGGCCAACGCTGGGTGATTGTCGACTTCGCGAGTGCTGCACACTGGGGCTCCTTAAAAAAGTAGCGAAAATGTATATTAATGTAGTATTATTGGTTTCAATAGCAATTGAGTAATATCTCAAGCTCAAATAGTGTCCATACTTATTGTGCATTTATAGAGGAAAAATGTGCTTTACCTTGACGACCGCCTTGAATATCGATCCCTGCTGTAGCGTTCGTACTTGCCAGAGTGGTGTCTACTGTGTTCGTAGTTGCTGAGACCCACATCCCGGCTATCGCTGAACTTCCGTCGCTTGTGGGGCGGCGTGCTGGGTTGATGATTGTAGCGATCCAGCTCTGCAACGTTCTCACAAAGTTGAATAAATTGTTTTAGATCGGAATAAGCCAAACCTACCCGGTGACAACCGTTTAACCTTCCTGGAGTCGTGACTGCTGGAACCGACACCAGAGTAACGACCCTGATATCCGTGATCGTGGCTGGAGCGGTGATGCGCACTCACTTCCTC